TAATAATGAGGAATTATTTTGTAAAACTTGTGCCAAAGTTGTAAATATTTTTTTAAAAATTATGTCGTAGCGTTTTAGCCAAAGATTTAAGTTAAAAATTAGAGTTTTCAGCGGAGTTGCCAACGAAATTGTATTTCTCATAGACTTTTACACTAGGAGTTAAAATAAAATGAAAAACTGTTAAATTAAAACTAAATAAAACTATATTAAATTTGATGTCCCATCTTCTTGGGATATGTTTTTACATATGTTTCTAGACAATCGACAATGAAAAATACGAATCTGCTTTATAGCCTCAGATTTAAATATTTAATCTGTTAGAGTATCTATGGCTAACTTTTTTAAATATTCTTTTTTAAGATAACGTGTGAGAAGTCCCATATAGAACAACATGTGAAAAGTGCAAAACATACAAAAATGTGATAGAAATAGATTGATAACAACTATAAGAAAGGTATATTTTTGCATATTTCCACATATTGTTGTATATTTTTTGCATATTTCGAATAAAAAGCTTGCATATTTATGCGCATATTTCCTATAATTTGACTGCATAAAAATCCAAGCTCTAATGATAACAAAACGATAACACAATGACATGTCACCGAGGTACCGAGGAAATTTAATAAAAAAGCAAGAAAGAAGTTATTTTTCTTTTATTTCTTAATTATGACATAGTGTCCGGAATCGACAAATAGCCCGATAGTGAGAAAAAGAAGAAAGTTAAAACGTTTTTTGCTGGGTTAGGTGATAATGTAAGAATAAAATACAATAGATTTAATCTTTCTNACAGATTAAAAATGAAAACTCAAACCAAACGGACATGACATGATAACTAGGGCTCGGATTTTATGCAAAATGCATCTTTATTTTCTGGAATATTTTTTTGAAAATTGGTTTCTGGGCGAATTACATAAAAATAAGGCAGAGTACAATGAAAAAATTGCATATTTTTACAATTTTTTTGGTTGTTGCATAAATCGGCCTTTTACTGCATATTTTGTCATTTTACTAGATTTGTTTCTTGTTGTTTAATAAAATAAATATAATGACGGCGTGATTTTTAAATATGCGAACATACCTTTTAGTTTAAAGCACAATACAGGATATTTTTTGATTGCGGGTTGGTTTCTTGTTTACAACGATTCACAGAAACATGCGGGGAATCCCTCACACTGTTAAGTTTAAGTTTAAGGAAATCCCCAACCATAGTTACTGTGGCTGTGTTCAGTGTGAGTGAACATTAATCTACAATGCCTAAAGTGATATCGTGACTTGTGTCCCAGTGGATAAAAAGTTATCCCGAACTAAATTTTAATAATGAGGAATTATTTTGTAAAACTTGTGCCAAAGATGTAAATATTTTTTTAAAAATTATGTCGTAGCGTTTTAGCCAAAGATTTAAGTTAAAAATTAGAGTTTTCAGCGGAGTTGCCAATGGTTTGATGACAACGAAATTGTATTTCTCATAGACTTTTACACTAAGAGTTAAAATAAAATGAAAAACTGTTAAATTAAAACTAAATAAAACTATATTAAATTTGATGTCCCATCTTCTTGGGATATGTTTTTACATATCCCAAGACAATCGACAATGAAAAATACGAATCTACTTTATAGCCTCAGATTTAAATATTTAATCTGTTAGAGTATCTATGGCTAACTTTTTTAAATATTCTTTTTTAAGATAACGTGTGAGAAGTCCCAAATAGAACAACATGTGAAAAGTGCAAACCATACAAAAATGTGATAGAAATAGATTGATAACAACTATAAGAAAGGTATATTTTTGCATATTTCCACATATTGTTGCATATTTTTTGCATATTTCGAATAAAAAGCTTGCATATTTATGCGCATATTTCCTATAATTTGACTGCATAAAAATCCGAGCTCTAATGATAACAAAACGATAAGACGATGATATATGTCACCGAGGTACCGAGGAAATTTAATAAAAAAAACAAGAAAGAAGTTATTTTTCTTTTATTTCTTAATTATGACATAGTGTCCGGAATCAACAAATGGCCCGATAGTGAGAAAAAGAAGAAAGTTAAAACGTTTTTTGCTGCGTTAGGTGATAATGTAAGAATAAAATACAATAGATTTAATCTTTCTGAAGATGAGTTAGATAATGTAAAGTGTAATAGCTGCAATAAAAAAGAAATTGACAGTAAAGAAAAATGTAATCTACGATGTTCAACAGCTGTAAACAAGGGGATAATGACAATGAATCGCTTGATGATTTTTAATGAAATTGTAGTTGTTAATAATAAAATGCGATTTTACAAATTTTACCAATGATTTATTGAGGGACAGAATCGTACTCGGAATTAAGAATAAAGATTTAAGAATAAGGTTAATGTCTAAATCAGACCTTACCTCGGAAACATGCATTGATATGTGTAAAATTGAAGAAATAACAACAAAAAGACTAGAAGATATTCAAGTAGAGGAAGGAAATGTAAACAAGGTAATAAATTATAGAAACAAATGTCGATTTTGGAGAAATCCATGAATTCAAGAAAGTACTTTGTAAAGCTTATGGTAAACAATGCAACATATGTAAAGGAAGAAATCATTTTGCTATAGTGTGCAAGAAAGACCAGAAGGATGCCAAGAGAAATGCTGGAAAGAAGAAAAGAAATCTCGGATGATAATGAAGAACTCCAAATAGAAAAAATTATCGATAATTGTTCAAGTGGGGGTAATGTTATTGCAGAGCTAGATTATCTTTTTAATGATAAATGGCTGAAAGTACAATGTGACATTGACACTGGTGCAAACGTTTGCATAGTAGGGTATGAAAATTTAAATAATTTATTAAAACTAATTCGATTAAACTGAGTGAATCGTCTCACCGCTTCTATTGTATTTCCGATAAAAAATTACCAGTCATCGGTGAACTTTATCTTAAATGTAAACGTTATAATAAAATATACAACATTAAGTTTGTAGTAGTTGATATAGATCACGGTTTGTTATTGTCAGCTAAAGCTAGTAAAGAGTTAGGTTTAGTGAAATATTGTAATGAAGTAAAAATTGAATATAACAGCTTGTTCAAATTAAAGCAACAGGCTCAAAATTAGTATTAATGTATTAATGTAGTAGAACATTATGAAGATATTTTCAAAGGATGGATTCAATGGATCTCTACCAGGGGATGTAGAAATAGAGTTGGAGGAAGAGGCAAGACCAGTAAGGCAACCACCGAGAAGAGTTCCAACAGTATTGAGAAAAGATTTGAAAGAAGAATTGATACATCTGGAGAAAGAAGGTATAATTATCAAAAAAGATCATAACACAGATTGGGTGGGTAACATTTTATTAGTAAAGAAGGAAAAGACATTTAGAATATGTGGACCCGATTCCATTAAATAAAATTTCCAATAAATGAAAAAACTACATTGTCAATTTACCACGGTGATGAAATATTGCCAAAATTGGGTAAAGCGACAGTTTTTTCAACAGTTGACACAAAGAAGGGTTTTTAGCAAGTCAAATTATCGGAATCTAGTAGTAGATTAACAACATTTTGGACACCTTTTGGAAAGTATGGATGGAAAAGGATGCCATTTGGTATAACATCAGCACTTGAAATGTTTCAAGTAAAAATACAAAATATGCTACATCAGCTACATGACTTAAAAGTCATTGAAGTTTTGGCGGGTGACATTCTTATTTATGAATCAGGCAATACAGGGAAGAAGTATATGTAGATCATAACAAAAATTTAGAAAAATTATTCAAAAAACTACATGAGAACAATTGTAATTTAAACAAAAAGAAATTAAAACTGTGTAAACTGTCAGTGAAATTTTATGGTCATATATTGTCTTGTGATGGCTTAAAGGTAGATCAGGAAAAGGTCGATGCCATAAAGAAATGTCCAGTTCCGAATGATAAGGAGCACTATTAAGATTTATCGGTATGGTCACTTATCTAATTGTAAGTCGATATATAAAGAATCATATAAAGCTGTGAATTATTTATTAATGTGAATTAACGCACATTAATGTGGATTTTAAACGGTCTGATCAGGAACAATTAGAGTTTGTTAAAATTAAAGACACCTTTAAAATATTACAACACAAAAGAAACTGTGATTTTGGAATGTGATGCTAGTAGTTTCGGATTGGGAGCAGTTGCATTTCAAAAGAATGATGTTATAGGTTACGTATCCAGAACACTTACTAAATCTGAAAAAATTTATGCCCAAATCGAGAAAGAACTGTTAGCAATAGTGTTCGGTTGTACAAAATTCGACCAAATGTTAGTTGGAAATAGACTAACAGTAAAAATCGACCACAAACCTTTATTACAGATACTTGAGAAACCATTATTAAATGCACCAAAACGATTACAATTGTAATCGTAATCGTAATCGATTACATTTGTTAACAAATGTTAATGACACTTCAAAGATATAAAATTGAATTAGAATATGTCACAGGAAAGAACAATGTAGTAACCGACAAATTGTCTCGTACTCCATTAAACGATAGTTATTATAATGAAATATCGAAGCAAAAAAGAACAGTATTTTCAAAGTATTTGAAAAAGTGAAAAGTGCGACATATTTACAGGTTACCGAAGAGAGACTTAAAATAATTAAAGAGGAAACATTGAAAGACAAAACTTTACAAAACCAACTGTTATCATCAAATGTTATCATCATTTATTATAGATGGTTGGCCATCTGTAATGAAAAACATTCCTGAAGACATAAAAATATACAACCAGTACAAACACGAAATATCAGTGCAAGATGGAATTTTATTCAAAAATGATAGAATAATAATATTATACAATTTGAGAAAAACTATGATTGAAAAAGTTCATTTAAGTCACAATGGTATTGAGTCAACAGTAAAACTAGCCAAACGAAATTTATTCAGGCCTGGTATGACAACAGAAATAACTAATAAAGTAAAAGAATGTGACATATATGCTAAATGAATTCACATGAAATTCCAGTTTACCCATTTCAATTTATATCAATGGACGTTTTTACACAAGAACTGAATAACAAAGTACGAAAATTTTTAGTTACAGTTGACCAGTATTCGGATTATTTCGAATTAGATTTATTAAAAGATTTAACTCCAAAAACACTGATTGAATGTTGTAAGATGAATTTCAGCAGATATGGAATACCTGAAAAAATATGTTCGGATAACGGTACGAATTTTGCGAGTGTCGAATTTAGAAGATTTTGTAACAGTTGGGAAATACAACATACAACATCATCTCCACACCATCCAAAAGGAAACGGAAAAGCAGAATCAGCAGTTAAAATAGCGAAGAGATTAATAAAGAAAGCTATTGAGGACAGGCGAGATATTTGGTATAGTATTTTACATTGGAGAAATACTCCAGACTCTACTCGAGAAATACACGAACCGGAATACCGTTACCCATAAACAATTTAAAACCTAAAATTATAGATAATGTTCCTAAAATTTTAGAAAACAACAGAAGAAAAAGCAAATTTTATTATGACCAGAAAAGTTGAAAATTACCAGAATTAAAAATAGGACAATCTGTAATAATACAAATGAAACCTCGACAGTCAACAGCATGCACAAAAGGGAAAATCGATGAAAAACTGAATGATAAATTATGATACATAATCATCTATACATCATACATAATAATACTATACATGTATTATCATTGATAATAGATGTAGTTAATATGGAAGGAACACTGTATAGAAGAAATGTAATACATATTAGACCACATGATAGCGAGATTAACAAAAATGAGACATTAATTCCTGAAATACCTAATCAACCAAATGAAGTAGTGCAGTCACACAGTGAGAATAATGATAAGAGAATGGAAACAGAGAAAACGGAAGTGAATACTGAACGAATTCAAAAACAAGAAGAGGGGTTAAAAGAGAAAACGAAGGAAACAAATAACAATGATACAAACAATTTGAAAGAAGAAACGAATAAGAATAATATTAACAATTCGAGGGCCAAAATAAGACAGCAAGAACCAATAAAAGTGAAGGAAGAATCAAGGAAGCGAGAAGGGAGACAAAGAAAAATACCTAAAAAGTTTGATGATTATAAACTTTATTAAAAGAGAAAAGGGGGTGTTATATATGTAGTTAAGTTAGTTATTTTTAATTTTAAAAGTTTAGGTGGGTAATAGAAATGACGTTAGATGTTTTATCTAATAAAAATAATATTAAATTTAATATAGCAACAAGTTGAGACTTGTTATGTAAAAACTTGGTAGGATAAACACGCCTAAGATCGACCGCTTCCAGTAGTCGACCATCCTCAACTACAAGTTAAAAAAATAAAAGAGTAGTAAATTTCCTCTTTTAAAATTTGTGTCAATAATTACTTACTCCAAATTACTCTCATCCAAATTACAAGTAAATGAGTAAGTAAATAATGATGGTAGTTCTGCCCTGATTTGTCATTTGAGAAAAGTGCATACCGAGTTGAAGGTTTGAGCTAAGTAAACCTGGATTTTTACTAAGCATGACGTGTTTCATAAATAAGCATAGAAAAGTATTGTAATCGTGTTTTATTAGAATCTGGACATAGACCCAATTGTAAATAGAACAGTTTTACTATTTCTTTAAATAAAGTTGTTAAAAACATAGTATATATTTTTATTTTCGGGTGGTCGAACATAGGCTTTACAATTAATATAAACTACCATTAGTCGACCACAGTGGACGACTACTGGAGTGTTAGTGTACGAAACGTTTTCTAGTCATCGACCGCTTCTTAAAATACGTAAAAATTGCTTAAAAAAGAACTATTCAAAATCATAAACAGCTCTAAGAAGATGGTTCTCTCTAGTCAAATCTAGTCGATTCAAAGTAGTCAAAACCAAAAATAGAGTGTTCCCAAGAGTGATATTCACAAACATCTTTAACAGATGCAATTCATAATGGTATGGGAATAAGAGAAACTTCTCGAAATTTTCAGATTCCCAAAACTAGCCTGATAGGCAGGCTTAAAGGCAGAATAAAAATGAGGCCTTTGATTATGGGGGTATCTCAGTCAAGAAGAGGAAAAAAATTATCTTTGTGGCTAAAGGATTTATCTATGACAGGATTCCCCTTGAAGAAGGAAGAATTATTCAAATCGGTTCAACACATTGTGAATACATACAAAAGACTAACACAATTCAAAGACGGACATTTTGTAGACGACAAAATATTGTCTTTCGGGAGCCCGAAGCTCTGTCAAAATCACGCGCAATAATTACAGAGGAAACAATACGAAAATGGTCCAGAGAATTGAACCACTTCTACTTACGTTTGTCTACTTTGCCAAAAAATATTAGAAATTGCTTTAAACGATGTGGTCTTTTTCCACTAAACCCGAGAGATTGGCCGTAGATTTTACAAAATGCGTTCAGAATCGATTAGAAAACACAACATTGAGAGCTATCGATTCAATTACCATGGAAGACTTAAATACGACAAAGAAAGGTCTTTCTCATTTTAAAGAGAGAGATTGAAACCAAAGACATCGATACAGATAAAATTAGTACTGTCTTAGATTATTTGTGAGAATCACAAATTTCTAGGACCTCAAATCTAGTGACAGTGGAAACATAGCTGGAAACACTGCTATACAGGCTGATGAAGCATTAGCAATAATATTCATAGGACTTGGTTACGAGGAAGAAGACTTTAGGAATTATAAGTGTTCGCTCTGCTCCTAATTTTGCCATAAGAATTCAGTTAATTTCTGCAGTAGTGGTTAAGATTCCATTGCTTTGTAAATTTTTTAAGTTGACTTGTTATGTTTATAATTTTTGATTTAATAAATGAGCATATGTTCTTGACTAGACCAAATAAAAAATTAAAACATGAATATTTAATTCATTTTTATAAATAAATTTACTGAAAAAATATTACGAGTTATAAAAAATAAGCTGACTGCAGACTAAAGAAATGCCGGTCGACCACTGGACTTATACTGGTCGACTCAAGGGAGGAAATGGTCGACTACTGGTACATTAGGTCCTTTTGAACCTTTTTTAGGATAATTTTAGTTTTATTTTGTCCTAGCATGAATCGGTTGTAGATTTCCAAAAGCAAATGTTCTACCTATCTTACTTAAAAAAGATGAATTTATTGTGCCTTTAGGTCTATTTTTTATTGGGTTTTGAATTTGAAATATGTCTTAAGGGGTCGACCACTGGCGTGTTTACCCTAGTCAATGTTACAAATCATCGAACCAAGATTGTCGAAGATAAAATTGAAATGATACTCTATTTCTTAATATTTTATTGAACTCGCAGACTTCTGGAAATATCCATACTGTAGTACAGACTCTTGAGTTAAGGTAGATGATGATGCCTTTTTTTAGTAGCGATGATTCCCTACTTTATTTCGATTTCCTACCTAGTGAGCGATAGGAAGCTTCTGATAAAATAACGGAGAATTTAAGTCAGTTATAATAATAATAATAATAATAATAGTTTATTCTTCAACAATACATACAAAAACTGTATTAATGCCAATTAAACCTAAAAAAAAAAATAAAAATAAAACAAAAGAAAAATAATAATAACTGTTGAAGAATCATAAGGTCGCGGATTCAGTGCCATGGCCAAAAGACCATTACTGTTCTTCCACCGCAGCCTTAAATTTAAAAAAAGCTATCAAAACAGGCCTTAGGGTAAATGCCTAAAAAGAACTTAAAGCTAAAATTCCGTATTATCCCTAAAATTACCGATCTTAAAGAATTAAAATTTAAATAAATGCTATCAAACAACATAACATAAAATGTAATAACCCTCCGAGATGTTCCTCAATGTTAAAATCACTGCATGTTAAAAAGGTAATTAAACAACAAACACTTAAACGCACGGCCATGCACCTTTATATAATCTGGGATAGAGTTGTATAGAGAATATACACAGTAGGAAAATGATCGCTCAGGCATGAGCATAGGGTGGTCCTATGCTTAGAAGGATTTATAACATTTCTCTTTCTGATGTTGACATGCAAGTCACCTCTGAAATAAATCTTTCTAGCTAAGTAAGGTGGATTGCGATCAACAATCATGTTAGGATAAAGTGTAAGTGATAGCATTTTAATACGAGACCTCATATTAAGCCATCCAAGATCTTTCAATTTATAAGTACTAATGCTTGTACCGCATACAAGCATTTTGCACACGCTGCATCCTAGACACGTCTGCAACGTCGAGACAAGGACCGTAGATTGGAGCACAATAATTAAAAATGGACAGCACAGTGCTTTCACATAAAGTTGTCTGCTTGATGCTGAAAACATTCCTAAAAGGATACAAAACCTTCAGGTTTAGAAAACTTAAACCTATAAGTCTAGAAATATGCTGCCGATATCGAAATGTATTCTCAATAATAAGAACCAAATTCTTCTCCTGTAGTGATATAGGAATCACATTATTATCAACACTGATTTTAACCAATGATTGCAGTTGTTGAACGTGTCTTTCATTACCAAACAAAACAACAGCATATTTTGCCGTATTCAAAAACAAAAAATGTTCACGAACATAAACTGACAGACTCTGAAGATCACAATTAATTTTATTTACAGCATTTTCATAATCATTAAACGGAAAACCATAATACAATTGAGTGTCATCCGCATACAATATGTGGACATTACAATATTTGATACAATTATGCAATAAGGACGTATAAACGGTAAACAGCAGAAGGCCCAATATTGATTCCTGTGGAACACCTTTATTAACATGTAAAGGATTAGAAACCTAACCATACAACTTGACACATTGATGCCTATTACTTAAATAAGATTTAATTAAGTCTAGGAAAGAATGATGACACCCAATGTAGTTTAAAATTGATACAAGCAATTGGTGACTAATTGAATCAAATGCCTTGGTAAAATCTAATAAAACCAAAATACCACAATCACCCCGATCCCGAATTCTAAGCAAATCATCAGTTATATTCAAAAGAGTCGTAGTACAACTACGCCTAGGTACAAAACCTGTCTGACACTCAGGTAAAATGTTATAATGTACTAAATGTTCTCTTAATTTAACGCTAATTATTTTTTCCGAAATCTTGCTAAAAGCAGGCAATATGCTAATAGGACGAACATCACTATATGTTACAGGCGCATCTTTTTTAGGCAGAGGGATTACATACGCCATTTTTCAAGAGGAAGGAAAATATTTCTCCTCGATACAACAATTGAGTATATGACATATGTATGGTAAAGTAAGCGGAAGTGTAAGTTTTAACATATCCATAGATATACCATCATGACCAACAGAGCTGCCATTCATATTCATCACCAAGCTTAAAATTATATCTTCATCCACAGATCGAAGTCGAAATACAGACCCGATGTTGTTGAAAGTATTACTATTATAAAAGAATGCAGAATGACTGTTATCGTATTGACTATCTGGAACATTATATACAAATGCTGAGTTTATTTCATTTACTTTTCTTAAATGAACTGGTAGGCTATTATTTTTAATTCGCAATATACGACAGTCCCTTAACACATTTCAAATTCTTTTTTGATTAGAGTTTTTGTGCAAATGCTCAAAATATGCTTTCCTTTCAGCATCAATAGCAAAATTAGTATAATTTCTCAATTGTTTGTAATATTCCCAATGCGATATTTGCTTGCTACGTTTATATTTTTTTTTAGCTTTATCTCTCAAATTTTGTAACAACTTAATATTATCCGTTATCCAAGGTTTCATGACTGTCAAACAAATTCAAGAATTGATCATTAACAAACTTCAATTTATCATCAATGGACATTGCAAAAATAGCCTGAAATGATATCAGGCTTAATTCTGCAACGAAGGAATCATAATTGAATGAGTTGAAGTCTCTGTATGTGTAACAAAACGAAGATGGTTTAAGCATTGCACAACTAAATCAATAAAAAAACCAGTTCATGATAAGAGATCTCAGGATGAAGAACCCCAGATTCCAATACTATAGATGAATCAGACACCACAATAACGTCAAGAGTATTCATCGAACTATCAGTAATTCGGGTAGGCTCACTTATTAGTTGAGTCATATCAAGTGTTTGAAACATATTCAACAATCTTACAACATAATTGTAGCTAGTATCAAGAACATCAATATTAATATCCTCCAAACAGAAAACATAATCAAACCTTAATCGTATTTCCAACAATTGGGCTTCAAAACCTTCCACGAATACACACTGGGACACAGTCTCAGTCCTGTAAACACAGCCAATCGCGTACGTTTTCGATTTAATGCGTATGGATAACCAAATTTGCTCATACCCAACAACATCAGTTTCTCCAATATGATCACACCTTAAATTATCACGTAAATAAATACATACTTATGTATGGAGATTAAGAGACATACACTTTTGGTTATCCCTGACAAGACACAATGTATTTTATTTACTAAAAGGGGTAGTTTATGTGTTAATACAGATGGAATTAATATTAAGATGCTTGGACCACGGTTAATACTAATGAATTCGGTTAAGAGTTTGGGTCTTGTCATTGATGATCAGCTTGCTTTTGGTGATCACATTAATTTACTATGTTATGGTTTCACCGGCGAGACGATAGCAACAAACCGCTCAGCAACAAACTTTTTCGTTTATATTTCCACCTACTTCTAGGGCCCATATGTTCGTTATCTAGAAAGACAGCGAAAAATTAAGCACACGGTTGGAAAGCTTGGCCTTTTCTCTATCATAAACCGAGTTTTCGTCCGCCGATATGTTGATAATAAGAGCAAGAAAAAATAAGAAACGTCGCGCTGCATTCAATTTACCTCAAAATTACCAAACTTCACGGCCTTTGTGCAGCCGTTACCAGACGGAAATTCAATAAATGGTTTTCATATTCGGAAAGAGCTGACCTTGGACTATCTTATTCCGAGTTTTCGTCCGTCAATGTCTGTCGGCGTCTGTAAAAAAAAACGCTCCTGAAAAAGCCCCTACCTTTGAAAACACGCATATATTTCTTGCACTAATAACTTTCCTATTTGACAGGGGGAAAACTCTACAACTATATTCAGCTTATGGGAAATTTCCTGCTCTTTCCAACGTCGCGCTGCCACGAATTTTTGCCGCGGCTAAACCACGCTTGGGTCAATAACTCTCTTATATGACGGAGAGAAAAATCTAGAACTATATTCATCTTATGGGAAATTTTCTGCTCTCTTCGACGATATATAACACATCTCAATCACACGTTTGCACAATCGTTTTTCAGCCCAGCAACAAACTTTCCCCTTGTATTTCCGTCTACTTTTCAGTCCAATATTTTCGTTATCTAGAAAAATAGTGAAAAATTTGCAGCCGTTATTAGAAGGAAATTCAACAAATGGTTTACATATTCGAAAAGAGCTAACCTTGGCCTGTCTTATTTCGAGTTTTCATTTACAGACGCCGTCAATATCTGCCGGCGTCTGTAAAAGAAAGGCACCTGAAAGACAACCTACAGGTAGCAGAACGCAATCACTTCTTACCTTAACTTTCTTATTTGATGAAGGAAAAATTGGAACAAAGTTTTACCCGAGAGAGAATCCTAACCTCATTTCATGTTGACAGATAATTTTTCATTCACTCTTAATTTATTTAAAACCGTTTAAAAACATATAAGTACGAAGGCTTTCGCGACCGGTGTTAATAAAACTAAAATTAACACTAGCACTATCACTACAACTAACACTAGACCTAGAATTAGAAACTTTCGGGTTGAGCCGTGCGTTTTTTGAAAAATGTTTGACGTTTCGGGTGCCATGTTGCAACCTTCTTCAGAAAACAAGTTGGAAGCGAACCCGAAAGTTTCTAGTTCTAGGTCTAGTGTTAGTTCTAGTGATAGTTTTACGTTTAGAAACATGTTAAACTGTTCAAAACGGAAAGATTATTTCATGTTACACCTATTTTATCAGAATCTGGAAGAATTTGAGTGATTTTAGACTCGAATTGTTGAATTGTGTTTTGATGGTTTTGAATCTGGTAACGTTACCAACTTTGCATTTTAACTCAGTTCATCAATTTAAAAAACTCGTATGCAAACGCGTAAGCGAAGTGCGTCGGACACCGTTGGAAAGAGCAGAAAATTTTCCATAAGATGAATATAGTTCTAGAGTTTTCTCCCCGTCATACAAGAGAGTTATTGACCTAAGCGTGGTTTAGCCGCGACAAAAATTCGTGGTTTAGGTAGTTCATAGTCAGAAAAAAGGATTGTGCAAATGTATGATCACGGTGCGTCACACATCGTTGGAAAGAGCAGGAAATTTCCCATAAGGTGAATATAGTTGTAGAGTTTTCCCCCTGTCAAATAGGAAAGTTATTAGTGTAAGAAATATATGCGTGTTTTCAAAGGTAGGGGCTTTTTCAAGTGCGTTTTTCTTACAGACGCTGATAGATATTGGCGGACGAAAACTCGGAATAAGATAGTCCGGAGTCAGCTCTTTCCGAATATGTAAACCATTTATTGAATTTCCATCTGGTAACGGCTGCACAAGGCCGTGAAGTTTGGTAATTTTGAGGTACATTGAATGCAGCGTGACGTTTCTTATTTTTTCTTGCTCTTATTATCAACATATCGGACGACGCAAACTCGGTTTAAGATAGAGAAACGACCAAGCTTTCCAGCCGTGTGCTTAGTTTTTCGCTAGCGTTATAAATAACAAAGATATCCGTCCGAAAAGTACATAGATGAAAATACAAAAGTAAAATTTGTTGCCAACTGTAGGCTCCTTTTCAGGGGCGTTTTTTTGACAGACGCCGACAGATATTGACGGACAAAAACTCGAAATAAGATAGTCCAAGGTCACCTCTTTCCGAATATGTAAATCATGTATTGAATTTCCGTCTGGTAACGGCTGCACAAGGCCGTGAAATTTACTAATTTTGAGGTAAATGGAATGCAGCGCGACGTTTCTTATTTTTTCTTGCTCTTATTATCAACATATCGGCGGACGAAAAAGATAGGTTGGTTATCTTGGTTTAAGATAGAGAAAAGACCAAGCTTTCCAACCGTGTGCTTAGTTTTTCGCTATCTTTCTAGATAACGAAGATATGGGCCCTAGAAGTAGGTGGAAATATAAAGGAAAAAGTTTGTTGCTGGGCGGTTTGTTGCTATCGTCTCGCCGGTTATGGTTTCCTATTATTATTATTATTACCCAGAACGGATGTTCATAACTTGAATCTCCGACACATATCAAGTTGCTCGTTTTTGGAATTCGATTCCCGGTTCTGCGAGTTGTGCGTTGCTTTACACGAAAGGGTGTTGTAATGCACAAATTTGCTTTTGTTGTGTTTAATTGGAATGTTTCTTTTTGTTATAACGGTTTAACGGTCTTTCGAGAATACTTATTATTGTTTTTTTTATAGATAAGATATACAATCTCTATTTTGTACATAAAAATACACAAATATTTGTTACAATATTTGATTACAACGAAATATCAATTTTAATTTACTATCACACGGTTTCCATTTCCTGTTATTGTTTTCTTCACGAGGATACCACTGTGTATATATACTTGTTATTAAAAAAAATTTTTGAAAATTCGTACAACTCGTCTTTTCATTAACACGTATCCTTAAAAGCTATTTCTACTGATAATGAGAAATGGCACTTTTTATAGTACATTTAATTCCCTTTCTTTTAATTTTGAACTTAGTCAATTCAATAAAGTTATTGCAACCTAAAATCTTGGTTCAAGAAGGGGGCAGTTATTTTCAGATGGTAACCGATACAAACTTGGCAATTTCTAGTTGTACTGCAATTTTCAAGCAAAATAACAGCAATGTGATGATTTCGTTGGATTTCCACAATAAAAACGTCAGTTTTAGCGATAACTTTATGGTGAGATATGATTTTAATCAATTAAATAACAAATTATTTAATTAAATTATCATAATTGTATTTGTTAGGATTCATTTAATTTTAAAGATCGCATTCAAAGCTTAGGATTTGGAAGATGTGGTTTTAAGGTAGATAATTCAACTTTTAACGATCCGGTAAAGTGGATTATTGTTGTTGCAAACGCTGTACCAGAAAAAACATATAATTCTTCATTTTCTGTTGGTGTATACAGCAAAAAACGTAAATAAAGTTTTAAAATTAATAAATTATAATAAATAAAAAAAATCTAATTTCTTATAGAAACTGCACCATTACGATCGGTGAAATCAGTGCATTTAGGAACGACAACAACGATGCTATGTGGAATCGAATATACTCCTCGTCTTTATTGCAACTTATACAATCCCCAGGGTGAGCTCGTTTCAAACGATTGTACTTATACTTTTGCACCAACTGCTGAAGATATTGGAACATGGATATGTAAAGTCGGTGTTGTTCAATCTATCGAGGCTTTAAAATATACCATAGAACTGAAAATTGAAGGTAGAAATAATAATTTGCATCAAAAGTTTTAAGCAAGGTTGGATATTTTGTAGGAAAATCAACCTCACATAATTGGTTAGATGAAACGGATGAATACGTTTCTTTCGGTTGTAGAATAAAAAATTGGAAACGCTATGAACCACCGAGTTATTGCACGATGACATCACCAAGCGGCGAAAAATTTCTTTTATGGCCAGGACACGCAACGTCAAGATATACATCCGTTTACACCGATTTAAAAGAAAATATTTGCGGGTTGGAAATCAAAAAACCTTTGTTGGACTCAGAAAAAGGTCCATGGACTTGTGAAATTGAGAATAGAGGAAATATTATTTTTGTTGGAAACGAATCTGATTATAATCTTCGAAACGTTTCATTTAAACCCATTATAATAAAACCTCGTCAAAAATTCTTGTTCAGTTGTAAAGTACCAGAGTCATATTCTAAATGTTTTATTCTTGACCCAAAAGGCAACCTATTACTACCAGATGTAATTAGTAGAGCTGAACTTGGAGAATGCGCTTTAATAGTTCATGATCCACATTCTGAATTTCACAATGGAACATGGACTTGCTATTTTATTAAGGACAGCCAATTAGATGCATATAAACAACAACGAGATGTAAGATTAAAAAAAATATATATATATATTTGCAATTTTTAGATATTTTAGGTCATAGTAATTACAAAAAACTGTACCTACACTGTATTGGTTGATGATGATTCTGATGAAGCTTCCATGGGGTGTAGCACTACGAGAAACCCTGTTGACTATTGTTGGTTTATTTCACCTAAAGGGAGAGTTTATAATCTTAAATCGGGCTATAACAACTCAGAGTAAGCTGTATAAACAGTTGGGTGTCTTCTATTTATTGTGATTATTTTTAGAATCTCATACGTTGGTAAAGGTTTAGAAGATGGTGATTGTGGATTAAAAATACATAAGATGCAACCAGACGATGTTAGGGTTTGGAATTCTATTACTTTACACGATGATGAAACACAACGTAGACAACATTCAGTTCACAGGAAGAGAGGAAAGAAACTATAATATAGTTATAATTATTATTTTTGCGGATAAAATAAAATTACTGCATTAACAGCAATAAACACATTTCTTCTTCAATGTCGCTAGTAGAAATATTGTAAAGTCTTAATATCAAGATTTCGTAGATTTCGAGTTAGATAGTAATTCAATTAATTTATTAAGGTCAATATTGATTGTAAACGACTTAAATGAAGAAGTGATATTCTTGGAAAAACTTTCTAATAAGAAACTTAATGAAAACATTAATGGCAGAGCAGGAATGTAAAGCGGTAATGTTGAAACAAATATAGAAAAACATGGAGAGAATACCAATGATAATAATGGAAAAAGAATGCTTGATTTCTGTCTTGTCAATGACCATAATATAACAAATACATTTTCCTAGACAAAGAAATGCATCAATTTATAAAGGGTCTGTAAGTTAAAAATGAAACCTCTATAATCGATTTTGTACTGATAGAAACTGTTATTGTCTCAAATCAGAGAAGAGGGAAAACAATACAAACAACAAAGCACAATTATCATTTATCTTGGTTTCTTGATGTTATCTGGTTATGCTTGATTTAATTCTAGTTTTATCATAATACTTGAATAAGCAATTCTATTTTTGACAACAACCGATGGCAGTTAACAAGGAGGCTGAATAACTTTGCCTGTTTGGTGACCATGCAACACTTAATTGTATTCGAGATGTGGTTTCAATTTTCAATACACGATCAGAAACTACGTAATCAAATTTTTCAGTTATTTCCATGTATATTTCTGCTAAAAATGCATTGACAAGAATTTGTATGTCCACTTATTTCTAATTGTAAAAGATATCTTACAATCAGCTGTTACCGAAGAATTTTGTTTCTGACAAATTTTTGTTACGTTTATATTTTTGAATGGATCTTCTTGTTGCGATATTGTTGTAACAGCAACATATTTTCTATATTAATAGAAAATATCCTCAGTGACATGGAAATCGCAACACTATGAACAGGTTTTTTTCTTAAACTTGGCAGTATCTTTTTTTTAACTAGGCGTACCCCCGGTCCTGGGCGTTATGGACCACATCTCAGACAATTGTCTAAAACTCTTCAACCTATTCTCCGAGACCATCCATCAGGATATTTCTTTGGAGACATTGTGTGGTTTTAGGATATGCACATCACTCCCTTTTTCGTGCTCTCTGGGGCTAACTCTGAGGCAGATTAGTATTCCTTTGTCATCTTCTGCCAGTTGTTACTTGTGGTAAATTAGTAACAGCGCCATCAATCCAGAATATGATTACGTTTTAAGTACTAATCGTCGAAATGATCTTGAGATGTGTCAAAGACGATATTAAGACAACAATACGATGGTCTTGCTGCCAGGAATGGTGCTGAGTAATAACCGGGATGTTGTTGAGGGGTGTCAGAGACGATATTAAAAGAAATTCGTAACAATGTTGATGTGTGTCAGGGACGATAGAAAAGAATATTTGGGATGATATTACGTGTTGGTTCGGAATGATGTTGATGTAAGTCAGGGACGTATTAAATGTTGGGTTCGGGTGACATTGAGATGTATCAGAAACGATGTTGAAGAGTGGTATTAAGTAACAGCCGGATAACCTTGAGGTGTGTCAGGGTGAAGGTAGAGGTATATTCTGGGTGATATTAATTAAGAGTTGGGTTGAAACGATGTTAAAGAGGAGTCCTTGTCGAAATTGAGGGGTGCTAGTTATGCTGTTAATACCGCTGATATTAAGGAACGACATTCCTAACGTGTTATAATAGTGTGTCTTAATTAATGTTATAATGTCTTTGAAACCATCGAAAGGATAAATTTAAAAATAAAGGACGTCTACTACAAAATGCTTTGGATTCTATTGTCAAGAAAATAAAAATTTCTGTTCTTACTATTGCTTATCCGAAGAATAACGTCATTAGAACGATGTATAAAACAGAATTATCAAATCCTCATCCAATTTAGTAAGTATACTTTACATCATTATTTTTTTCTAGATTATTTATTCATCGTTGTGTATTGTATTCAGTTGCCAAGGCACAGTACCATGTCCAGAAACATATTCAACATAATCATCACGCACACTAGACGCTTATGTTGGGAAGTTGTGAACTGACATTAGCTTTCAAATTAACTACACCATTGGCTTCAGAACTTTGTGTCCTCCAAGAATCAAGCATAATGTGCCTAAACCAAAATTCAAAGTGTGCTGTTGATAAGCGACAGTTGACGATTTTCTACAACGTATTGTATGAGAGATTCCCAAGGTTTGATTCCTCTATTTGGTATCTAAGCTAATATGGCTTATAAACATGATAGGTTACATTGATGAACGGTACTTATGACACATAACAGATGATGGGATTTTTATTTTGTAACTACCTTAGAAAACCTAACCTCAGAAAAACATCGACTGCTTTTCTACTACTGCCAAAGATTCTACAAGAAGTACTAACAAGACTACTAAAAAGTCTAAATTTTGGGGCACCTGTACATTTCAATTTTATCTAAAAAAATGCGCGTTAAAAAATATAACATATTCAACATATACACAAAATTAACGCACAACATATATATTTCGATTTATTATAATTAAAGTCAAAATTATCATACATTTTGAAAAACATATTAGGAATAGAATACATAAACAGAATTATTTCGATAATAACAATACGTTTGACTTAACCCATTTAGTCCCACGATGCTTTATATTAAAAAAAATCGATTTTTTATAATTTTCCGTAAGATAATATGGAATGAAAAGTATAAAAATGCACACAGTTGTTTGAAAAAAAAAATTGTTTTTGAGATGGTAAAATAAATGAACAACACACAAAAATTTTGGTTATCACTCATTAACTAAGTAATAAATTAGCCGTAAATAAATAATAATACTAATACAACATAATAATAACAAATACCAACTTTAGTATGAAGTTTAAGATAAAAAATATTTATACTAAAATTGATGCAAAAACGCACCAATGGAATGAACGGTATAATCATTTATTGTGGTACTTCACAAAGAACTCTTCATGTATAAGTACGAAGGCTTTCACGGCCGGTGTGAATTAAACTAAAATTAGCACTAAAACTAGAACTAACACTAGAAACTTTCGGGTTTTGCTGTGCGTCTTTTAATAAAAGGTGTGACGTTTCGGATGCCATATTGCAACCTTCTTCAGAAACTGGTTCGAAGTGACCAGTGCACTAGTTTTAGTTCTAATTTTAGTTTAATTCATGTAAATGAACGCTAAACTTACTACACATATATTGACACACTATGTCCATAAACGACTATTTCTAGGGAATTGACCGAATAAATGCGTCTAAACTGGTTTTTGATAATATGAAAGATAATGTAATCCTTATATCTCATCAATCATCCCAATGGTGTGTTTTTGCACCATTAATGTTTCAAGACGTATTTTCAGAATTCATATTTTTATTTTCGTTTCAAGATATATATGAGGAAAATATGCATTAAAAACTTGCAAATGTCAAAATTTTAAAGAATTTTATGCACTAAAAATAGTTTTATTTCTATTGTATATTTTGAGAAATGTTCCATAGAAAAGAATTGATGCAAATATGGTTTAAATAGCAAGAACTATGAAATATTTTGATATGTATAACCTAACAACCTTATAGTGTTATCGTTCAAACAGCTAGCACCTTGAAATCTGGTAATGTATGGCTGGAAAATAATTTTAAAAACGCTGGTGCGTTTTCACACCAGTGCAACAGAAAATAAACAAAATCATGTAAAATGATCATTATTGTTATGAACACAAAGAACTTTTTTTGAACCGTATTTAGGTTATCAGTAACTACTTACAAGGGAAGTGTCACAACTGTGTCTCACCGATTTCGATGCAATTTGGTACAGTCATAGAATGGGCCAAAATAAGGTTCGCACATTTTTTTATACGTGCGGTAAAAGCCCCTGGGGCGAGTTATAGGGGTTGAAAGTTTGGAGAAAAAGTACGTTTTCACTTATATTTTGAAAANAGAATTCATATTTTTATTTTCGTTTCAAGATATATATGAGGAAAATATGCATTAAAAACTTGCAAATGTCAAAATTTTAAAGAATTTTATGCACTAAAAATAGTTTTATTTCTATTGTATATTTTGAGAAATGTTCAATAGAAAAGAATTGATGCAAATATGGTTTAAATAGCAAGAATTATGAAATATTTTGATATGTATAGCCTAACAACCTTATAGTGTTATCGTACAAACAGCTAACACCTTGAAATCTGGTAATGTATGGCTGGAAAATAATTTTAAAAACGCTGGTACGTTTTCACACCAATGCAACAGAAAATAAACAAAATCATGTAAAATGATCATTATTGTTACGAACACAAAGAACTTTTTTTGAACCGTATTTAGGTTATCAGTAACTACTTAGTGTTACCACCTCTGGCTGTTATTGTAGTCTGACATCGTCGTGGCATACTTTCAATTAGAGATCTGATGGTTTCTTGAGGGATATCTTCCTATACGCGAATAAGACTTTGTCGCAGCTCGTCTAAGCTGTTAGGTGGTGGATGCTAACATAATTTAACATAATTTAAATATTCAGTAACAATATGTGCCGCATGTGGCCTCGCATTATCCTGCATGAGAATGAACCCATCGCCAATGTAAGGTGCAAAAGGTATCACAAAAGGTTCTAAAATGTCTGTTATGTGTCGTTCAGAATTCAGACGTCCACACTCAATGATAAAAAGTTCCGTGCAAGTTGTTAAAGGTATTCCACCCCATACCATCACTGAACCGCCTCTGTATAATGTGGTTTCTTGAATGTTACATGTGGAATATCTTTCATTTGTCCTTCTGTACACTCTTGGACGACGATCAGAACTTACAAGGCAAAACCGTGACTCATCCATAAATAACACCTGCTCCCAATGATGGATTTCCCAATCCACGTGCCTTCTTGCAAAAGCCAATCTGTTTCTTCGGTGGTTTGCAGATAATCTGGGACCAGTAGCTGATGCCCAAGGTCGTAAATTTTGAGTACTAAGTTTCTCTACCAAGTTCGCGATTTGTTAGTCCTTCATTGGACAAAGTTACAATTTGAACACATTTATCACGATTTAAATTTCGTCTAGCACGCTCCATTATGTATTGCACGAATGACAGTTATCTTATCAATTGGTAAAGCAATTTAAAAAAATACCTACTTTTATTTTAAAAGTGAGGCTTATTTACTTAAAAAACAAGCCCCTCACGAAAAGCTGCTATGATTTCAAAATTAAATAAAGAAGACGGACAAATCCTATACAAAAGGCGTAATAATGAACCAATTATTATTATAACTGATATTATTGAATCGGAAATATATACTATTTTTCGAAATAAAATCAAAAGTCAGAGTGATGCGTTAATTTTGCGGTTAAGTGTAGTTGAGCAATAATTCTGAGGGAGGTGTAATATAACCCTCCACCTTGATAACATAATATTACCATAATATAAGTTTCTCTAAAACAGTTATTTGTATGGAAATACTATGACAGTATCATGTTGATGATGAAAAGATTGTAATCAAGGCCGCTTACGTAAGCTGTAATTTGCTGTAAAGTTAGAAAATAATCTAGTAGAATATAAATTCAAAAATAAACTGTTATAATCTTCAGTACTTTATCATTTCTTTTAAAACCACAATTTATAGGTGCAAAAAAAACGCAGTTTGAAATGTAATAATTTTTTTATTTTTCGTTCAGTTTTCATAATTTTTTCAGCAAACTGTAGATAAAAATGTCTAATTTCATGTTCAATATCCAGCCTTTTGTTAAATGCTGGTCATTTAATCGGTACCATTAACTTAATTGAAACGTCGTTCTAGGATCCTAATTTTAAAACACCCTGCGGAAAAACAGCGTTTTAAGTGCTGAAAATTGCGCTAAAGCTGTTGCTCTTGTTGAAGATAGGCGTAATTATGAATATGTTGCAAGAACCCTTCATGTTCATCGCTCCACTATTAAAAGAGTGGTAGAACGTTTTACACAAACTGGAATAAATAAGAGAAGGACAGGAAGCGGTAGAAAACGAAAAACCACTGCTGTTTTTACATTTTATAAATGTGTGTGATTTATACATGTTATAGCTTTGCGGAATCGTCATTTAACGTCAGTACAGACGAAAAATGAGCTTCGACTGATCCAAGATACAAATGTGAGTGCGTGGACAATTCGCGGAATCTGGGTTGAAAGCTTGCAGACCAGCAGTCCAAATTCCTTCCGCGCTACAGGGTGGCTAGACTACAATTTACCACCGAACACTTACATTGGGATTTGAGGCAATAGAATAATGTTCTCTTTACCGATGAATCCAGGTTCTGCTTACATTCTTCAGATAGGCGGAAAAGAATGTGGAGAAGAAATGGAGAAAGGTTTGCGGAATGCACATTCAGTCCCCGTCTGAGTTATGGAGGTGGTTCAGTAATGGTGTGGGCAGGAATAAGCCCGGAAGCCTGCACTGATTTGGTCATCATCGATGAATCATTAACTGCCCAGCGATATATCGGGGAAATATTGGTTAATTACGTGCAACCCTTTAGTGAGTTTATAGGCGATGATTTTATCCTAATACCGGATAATGCACGGCCTCATATAGCCATGTCTGTTACACAATACCTCAATGAAGTGGGTATTAATAAAATGAACTGGCCAGCATGTTCGCCCGATCTAAATCCCATCGAGCATGTGTTGGATATGCTCGGTAGGCGGGTGGGAGACCGCAAAGTAGCTCCAGCTTCTGTACATGAACTGCGAATAGTTCTCCAAGAAGAATGGCAAAACATTACGCAGCAGTCCATTTGTAATGTTATCGACAGCATGAATCGATATATGGAAGCTGTGATAAGAGCTAGAGGTCGTAACACAAAATATTAAGATAAATGTCTTGTAAAAAAGTTGTACATAGGGTTACGTTTTAGGTTAGAATTGAATTATTTTGCATTAATAAATTTTCTTATTTTCTGTCTTTTTAAGTTTTTCTTTTTTTTGTTTGCTTTTCTTACCTTTTTTCTTTTCATTGGTTGTCTCACAAACTGATGCTATCAAACTATCTATAGAATAACAATGAACAAGGCCACCTTATTAAAAAGTAACGTATCTTAAGTAAATTGTTAGTGACAAATTCATTTCGCTCTTAAAAATGAACGAATGCACTTAGAGACATGAACCAAAAAACAAAATGTAGGGAACGAATGGTTCTTAACAAAAATTATATTTTGAAACAATTTACACACTAAATTATTCCACAGGTGTTTTAAAATTAGGATCCTAGAACGTCGTTTCAATTAACCCTGTATACCGACTAAATGACCAGCATTTAACAAAAGGAACATGAAATTCGACATTTTTATCTACAGTTTGCTGAAAAAATCATGAAAATTGAACGAAAAATAAAAAAGTTATCACATTTCAAACTTTACCAAATATTAGCTTGTTGCGTTTTTTTTGCACCTGAGTATATTATTAAATAAACTATTAAAATGTTAGCCGTTTTATCAGAAATTAAAGACAAGTAAACTTATTAAATAATATATTATTTATATTTTGAATTTTAAAAACATTATCTTACATAAAACCATTAAGTTTACATAAAAGTAACTAATGTCATGTAATTCGTTTTAGGACAATCTTCATCTAAAATCTTATACTTCAAAGCACAATTATTTCTTTCATTAAATTCATATATTTCATTATACAAACAAGCCTAAAACCATTCAACATTAATAACTTAACCTTTATTTCAAAACGCCCCCTCTATGCAGAAATAAATGTTCGATATAAAATTTATTGTAAGACTTATTTTTGGACAGAGGAAGCAATAAATTTCTTACCTGCAAATACAAAACATCTTTAACACCATAATAAACCTCCAATTTTTGAAAATCCCTGTTAACACCATTCAACATTTTCGCAGCCCTTAAAATAATTGCGTTTCTTTCCATTTCACTTTTACAATAACTTTCAGCCACAACACATTTTACGTACACCATTAAAGCTTGTGCCCGATTATAAACATTCCCATGTGATAATATTTGTGGTACACAATGACTTAAAACGTTTAAAGCCTCCCCTGGCATTCCTAATAACAATTGTACATTCGCTATGTGTACTTGAACTAATGAAGTGTAATAATCCAAATAATAATCTTTACAATACGCTAAAGTTGAGTTTAGAAGTGTTAAAATTCCATACGGTACTGAACTTGGAAAACTAATCGCTGATTGGATTTCTATTAATAAAATCATAGCTCGAACTTGTATATCCATTCTCACAACTCTCTTAAATTCTTGACATATTACTAATACTTTATTAACACAATAATGTGCTCGACTATAATCTTCTTGATGAATTAATAATTCGGCGATTCGTAAACAAGCATCCCATTTATTTATACAAGCGATTTTTTCAGCTATAATTTCAGCTTCGATATAGTTTTGTTTATATAAAAGATAAGTAAACTGGAAAATATTTTCAGATAACATCCAGTTATGTGAAGACGGTTCATTGGGAAATCTTTGTTTTGTAAATGAAAATATGGCATTTGCTGAATCATAATTACTTTCTAAATAAACACTATTCGCTACATTGCATAAGGCTTCACAAAAACCTTCGTCGTAATGATTCCTTGTTAATGAATTATCTGTTGTACTAAAATTTAGTAGAAGTTGTGACCATAATGATGACATATTTACTTTCCCGTAAAACTGCCATAAAGCTGATTTTTGTGAAAAACTGTGTGAAATTAAATCGCGGTGACCATATTGACAATTTAATACATCACTTCTTGTTATTGTCTAAAACAAATTAATTTACAAAACAAAGTTTTATTTTATATAAACATTGTATTATATGAAATAAATCTATGTTGAGTAAAACGCAGTATGCGTCATAAGTATTAAGCATCATCATGAGCCGAAACTCGTCGATTTATATTTTGTCTTAATCTAAATAATTTAGCATAGAAAATTATCTATCACTTTTAGATTATCCGGAAAATGGGTCAACATTGTTTTATTTTAATATTAATTATGCCTGTGGAGTTATCTGTTTACTATCGGACGCGTACCCAAATGGCAGATAGGGGCCCCAATCAATCTGAGCTCTTTAGTTGGATTGATGGGTAGATGGGAAATGACATACCACAGCGGCCCAAATTAGACTAGACAAGGTGAATAAAAAAATCTCATTTTCATGAGGTTAATAACCTGTCAGAGTGGTATCATAGAATATGCCTACAGAACTCAAATGAAGCCTCAGACTTGGACTGATGGAATGGCGAAGACACAGACGAGAAAAAGGAAAACGATTTTAATAATAGCTACATGGAACATTGAATCATGGAAGAACAGGATTAAGAAATTATTATTGTAATGCAAAATCAGTAAATTGACATCTGCTCATTGAATGAAATACGAAGGTAAAGATAGTATTATTGACATACACCATATGAATGAAAGATAATAATGATAACTCCATCACTAAAGAACTCATACTCTATACTGCATATCACATCTATATGCGCTCAACAAACTGAAAGTCCCAAACACGAAAGGAATATATTTTATGAACACTATTCAAGATCTATTAAATTCAATACCAGAAAGAAACCCCATACTAATATTAGGGAACTTTAATGGCCATATCGGAAAGGATGTTACATTTGGAATTAAATAACATGGACTGACAACAGAAGTCAAAAGATGATTATTGATTTTATATTAAGGAACAAAGAGATCCTTAATATAAATTATACACGACTAATGTAGTCCCACCACAAAAACTTTCAAATATTTATCATCCCTGTAAAGATATTTGTGGAAATGTGGCTCTGTCATAATGACCGAGTCGGCGCTGTATGAAATATTACATGTTTTACGCCATTGCGATTAACTTCTGAACATGCGCGGAAGTAGTTGTTAGTTGTACACTGAGGGCACGTTGGTTTTGTTTAGATGTTGTGGCTACAAAAACATGTCTGCAATGCTGATGACGCCGTTTAATTCAACATAACAACTAAGCAGTATAATATGAAATCAATATCAACGGAGAAAAGAAAATGTGTGGTAATATCCAAAAAACCAAAAGAGGCTACGAGCTGCATATTGATCTATGTTGAGAAACACAATCACAAGTCACAAAAGCGACATGGGTAGCGGGTTGTGTAAGGGATACTGTATGGCGAAAGAAATATATGCGCGTAGAAGAAAAAACGAAAATATACTATAAAGCCAATGTACGACCCATACTAACATATGGTACCGAGACGACAGCAAAGACTTAGTCTTCTTAGAAAATTTCACTCATATTTTCGCATGAAGTTTTCATCGTTTGACTATGTTTTGATAAAATACATCATAAACTAATCAAAAAATTATCCAACTTCAATATTCAACTCATTGAACCTACAGAGCAAGTATCGATTATGATACCAAAGATGTTTCTGACCCCAGAAAGCGTTTTTAGCAAAAACCATACTTATTAATTGTTGATTATCCAATTTAGTTTACTGCGATGAGAGTGACGAAAACAATTCTGTTTGATGTTGCTGTTATCTAGCAGCTAGATAAGGAGTGCTTAGGGAAATTCTTAGAACTAGCCCCATCCTCAGTGACAATGTCAATAGAAGACTAATATTGTAAAGTGAAGATCATCAAAAAGGCAATTGAATGCATGTATAAAGCTGAAGGCGATATAATGAGGTGTTAAACGTGTACAGCAAAATGATTAAAATGTTTCTTCACGTCTCTTTAAAGGTTCAACATGGTTTTTGATTATTTTTCAACAAGCGTTTAAAATAACGTGCTTTTTTGCTGTTGCCATTTTAATCATTTTGCTGTACACGTTTAACACCGCATTATATCGCCTTCAGTTTTATACATGCATTCAATTGCCTTTTTGATTATCTTCACTTTACAATATTAGCCTTCTATTGACATTGTCACTGAGGATGGGGCTAGCCCCGAAACTAGTTTGACTTCAAATTTATTAAATATAGCAAGTTAAGAAGTTTTTTCGTTTTATTTTTAATCAGAAAATAGGTAGTAAACTCTTTAGTAAACTTCTTTACCTGGGTTTATGTTTAATAGATGTTTCCTTTACCACATAACAAAAACACAATTATCACAAATGTACATTAGCAAAAGTTACTATAGAGTTAACGTAATAAAATTTACAACCTTCAAACAGCTTAATTTTATGCTCTATACTGTCAACGATCTTGTGAGTTCATCGATTTCATTTCAAAATTTACTATTGCACTCCTTCTTCTGCAAATGACTGGCCAAGATAGATTTGCCAAACTGCAATTGTCGCATTAATTACGACTTAAAAGCAAAAGAAGCAGAATCTATGAAAAAACAAATTCAGCTGTGACCTCTATATGAGAAAACATGTTCACCACATATCACCATATCAAAGATTTATTATAAAAGGACCTTAACCACTTCATGCACACAAAAATTCAGTTTTGTATGGTATTCCATGAAACAAGGCACAGCACACAATCCTACATCACAACTTTTGCAATAGTACCTAGTTTCCTTCCTTGGTCTTTTTCCTTCCTTGTTCTTCTTATTGCAACACACAGCGCAGTACCTACATGGAGCAGCTTTTTTTTTCGTTGGTGGTACATATTCGGGAAAATGGCGCTCGGTCAATCGTAAGGGTCCAGGTTGATAGCTAGGTCGACCTTTCCTGGTAGAAGAGGTTGAATGAAAATTCTCTATAAGCTTCTCAATTAGTGCCTGCCGAAACTGTAAATTATTCTTTTGTCCACCGTTTTTATTATATAAGACAAAAGCATTCCATAGCGACATGTCTAATAAGTGGAAAAATATTTTCTTGTAATATTTCTTCCCTCTTTTTCTTGCTATAGGATAATCATGCAAATGTTGATCTAGCCGATCAACGCCCCCCATTGTATTATTATAGTCAATAATAACCTTAGGTTTTTTTATCAGTCCACCGTCTTTGTCCCTCTTTTTTGTAGTTTCCCTTGCGGAATTATGGACAGTAGAAAGCATACAAACGTCTTTTTTATCCCTCCACTTCAAAACCATAACTTTTCCTCTTTGAAATGCGGTAATTTCGCCTTTTTTTAATTTTTTTTCCCGAATTTCTTTGGGTACTTCTTGCCGATTCATTCGCATAGTCCCATATGAATCTGTTTTACGTTGTGCTAAAAAATCTGCTAGCTGAGGGGATGTGTAAAAATTATCTGTCGTTACGCAATATCCCAAATTCAGTAACGGTTCCATCAAAGACAAAACTATTTGGGAAGACATAGGCCAATTTTTATATTTATTGCTAATAAGGGTTCCCTTTCCTGTGTAAATTATACTCGAATGTACATAGCCCGATTTTGATTCGCACAACAGGTATAATTTTATGCCAAATCGAGCCCTTTTCAGTGGAAGATATTGAATCCAGCTAAGACGACCTTTGTACATCATCAAACTTTCATCAATGCTGACGTCCCTCTCAGGAATGTATAGAGAACTAAACTTGCCATTTAGATTCTCATATACAGGCCAAATTTTATTCAATTTGGGGTGTGGGTGTGTAGCACTATTGTAAGTTACATTATCCGCAAAATGTAAATATCTTTGGATTTGATAAAATCGTTGGTATGTGAAAAGTTTAGAAAATATAGGTGTCTGAAACACTTCAGCTGTTGACCAATACATTCTTTCTTGTGGTTTCTTCACAATACCTTGAAGAATTTTTATGGCAAGGAAGATATGCATTTCTGCAACAGTTACAGGTGCCCAAGGTGTCGCTGATGATCCCGGCTGTTGTTGGGCAAATCTGTTCGTTTCGGTCACCAGAAGGTTTATCAAATAGTCATCAACAAATAATTGGTAATATGCCAAAACATCTTGACCATCAGGTATTGGAAAAGTGCAACCTGGGGTTCCCACAAATGAAAATCTAGGTGGTGCAGGGGGTGGCTGATCTGTATCAATGGCACACCAAGTTCTTGATAAATGAAAATGATCTTCATCGGAACAGATTTCATCTGATTCAAGATCACTCTCCTCACTTTCATCAGATCCACTTTCTTCTAAATTGCCGTATTCGACGTCAGTATCATTACTACTACTATCACTCATTTTGATATAGTTTTACTAAAATAAGTAACGCAAAAAAACAAATGTAACAAAATAATATGAAATAGACACATACAATATTTCTTACCAAGTATTTATAATGATGTATTTATAATGATGAATTTATAAAATATAAACCAAAAATAATTTTTACGCTCGTACTGTATAAAGAACTATAACTCACAAACACTGCTCTAAACTGCGCTAAAGGGCCGCTGAGATCGGCTATATAACACGATATTTTTGTAAACATCCTTATTTGTATCTTTGAACAGGCAGGTAGTAAATAAACTTCGAATAGGCGGGAACCACAGCCGGAACTAAATAAATATGAAGACGCGAAAGAAATAAAACAAAACATTTTTTTTGTACACCAAAAATAAATATCTATTTGAAAATATGCGAATTTGGGATCCATTTTCATGTTCCTAAACATTTATAGTTTATTTTAATTCGATAATATTCCACACCGGCCGATAAAATTTGTTTTAGTAAGATAATACGGTTGCCCGTGCGACACACGGGCTTGTGCAAAATTGCCAGTTAAGCGCGCCCGTGTCAGACACGGGTATGTACGTTAAGTGGTTAAAGGTATCGTACATTAAGACATTCGACTATTGTTTATGGAAAAAATTATAATTTAAGCTTAAATCAGAAAAAGATGTCCCTTCCTTAATACCTTAATCAGGGATTACATCTAAGCAGTAGACATAGAAGACTAAGCAAAAGATAAGAAGAATGGAAATGGAAGTTTTATACCTATTATATACCTATTACATGTTACACTATGACATAAACAAATTAACACCTCAGAGAAAGATGTAATATACAGGATGAACGTTTTGTAAATGGATAAAAAGCAGAAAAAAGAAGTGGAAGGAATATGTAGAAAGAATGAGTAAGAAGAGAATGGCAAGAATTTATATGTGTGGACGACCGGAATCAAAGAGACCACAAAGACGATATTCCAAGAGATGCGCTCAGAGCTGGATCTCTTCGTCTACGGAATAAAACCCAAATCACAAGGCTTGACAAATAGGGAATTGTGCCTTGTTGAAAGTAGAAGAAGATATTATAAAATATGGCGCGTGCAACTTTTAAAAGATGTTCCGCCCGTTTGATTTTTCGCAAGACAGGTAACCAGGTAAATAACGAGCAGTATGGATATCGACACGCAGTCTTGCGATAGTTGATTTTTACATAGTCAACTGAGAGAAGGCTATTGCTAGAAAAAAAAAAGTTTGTGTCGTCTTTTTTATTAAAATTTGTGCCAAATTCTACCAACAAGTGTTCCTTGTGTTCCTGTTTTGTTTATTAAAAGTAACGCCACACCCGGCGATTGTCGATAGTTACTAAATCGTTTGAGAAAGCAAGAAATGTTTTATAGAAAAGTTAATAGAGTCACCACTTTCTATAACGTAAAATTATTTTCATTTATACAGGCTATTGCATTTAGGTGTGACATAAAGTATGTATAGTCAGTACGATATTTGTTGAGGTAAAATTCCCAGAAAAAATCAATAACATTCTATTCTCTTAAAAAAACGGTTATTCACGGCTTGATATTTGCAAGCAGTGGCGTACCTTTAAATTTTTCACGTTATTTTTCGAATATTTTTTGCACTTTTAGTGAATATCTCAGAAACTAATGTTGTGAAAAATTAAATTATAAAAAATATAACGTTGTTTTTTTTGAAAAAATAAACCAGGTGATAAAAAACAGAACATACAAAGAAACTTGTATTGGATTAACCGACACACAGCTTATAAGATAAATTTTAAAAGTCGTCCACACTAGAAGTTTCGCTATTAGAAGCTGTAATAATTAAACTATCTGTTGCCTCATCAATTCGAACCTCGTTTTCTAAATAATTATTTTCAACTTTAACAACATTTTGACAACACTTCAACCAGTCTTCAACAGTAACCAACGAAAATTCTTCTTCTGTCAGAGTTTTCACAACGTTTAATTGAAATAATACATTTCTCTTCGCTACTTTGTTTTTAACTTGAGCTCAGTTCAATCGAATTTAAATCGGGGTGGTAGGATGGGAGCCTTAAACCCACATATCCGTTTTCTTCTAGCAGACGATCGAATTTGTAAACAATGTGCTGTTTTTTATGATATTGAATATCATACAGTTGTGGCAAGAGACAGCTAGATATGAAACCTTTTCACCACCGTCGCGTCGTGAACAATAATTAATCTATTGCCTTTAGATATGGGTGATAGTAAAAAAAATGTGCTAGTGTCTGTCCATCTACTGGAACTAGTATGACCTGCGTGAATGTAAGTTTCATCTAAAAAGACAATAGGTCTACCTTGGCTCCAATAATATTTAATTTTATCCAAATAATTCAACATTAAAGTACGAATATCATTCTTCTCTATTAGTAACCGCCGATTGTCCATAGTTTTCCACCACTTAAATCTAAGGTTTCCAATAAATGTCTGCAGGGAGGTACGTTTTTCCGTAAAGTTATATTTGGCACTTAATTTTTGTTGTAATTGTATCAGAGAAACGCGATATCCTTCGGTTTTGTGGAAAATATAAATCATGTTTCTAATATCCATTTGTTCCCATTTATGTATGTTGGTTTTTGTGCACATTCTCTTACGTTTTTTAGGAAAACTGAATGTTATATTATCATCACCATTGTTTGAAGCTTGTAAATCGCATCCTTCATGTAAGATTCTCTTTATAGTTGCCAGAGACACTTACAACACGCTTTTTTTTAACTCTGTTTTCATTTGGAAAAATTGCCTTAAAATAATTAATCACCTTAAATATAACACCCTTCGACTGAGAATTAAGTTCCTGTCTTTTATTTCTCACTTCCATTGATTTCTTTTCATAACAAATTACACTGCAAATGCATAAAACAACTTACGTTACGTAAATCGATTGCAATTCACGATAATCAAATGCTTATTGCAAGTATAAAAACCCACTTGCTATGCCGCCGCCAATGACTTTCAGGGTGTAGGATGTTATATGATTCCAAGAATCTGACGTAGGGCTTTTCTGAGAAATTTGGCTCAATCATTATCATATTATGAATATAAGTAAATTTGTTTATCCAACCGTATATGCTGCTAACTTACAGCGTTAATAGTTCCTAAGATATTCAATTGTTTTCCAAAATATGTCCGTTGCAGGATGTTTTCAAAAACGACATTTTTGCTGATTTGGCCTTTAAACTATGTGTGTTCATAGAACTTAGTAAATTTTAATGTTTTCCAAATGGCTTTTTCATAAGTTTTTTTAAATAGAACATCTGTATGTTATGTCCAGGTTGAATAGCCCATCAAGGTCATCACGTATCAGTCTTGCAACGGGCACATTTTATAAAAATAATTGAATATCTCAGGTTTTATTAACGCTGTGAGTTAGCAATATATACGGTGGAATTTGTGTCCAATACACAAACTTCTCTTATCTCAAAATGAGGGATACTGTATCCTTGCAAATCTACTACAGCTTGTTTAGTCATCTTTGTTATTCTCAAATTAACAAACAGGTTACTTAAAACATTCAATCTGGTGAAATGATCAACTCAGAATACAAACTGACAAACCTGACAAACCGAACTGAACCGTAATGTTATATAGAGGAGGACTAAAGGTTGAAATAATGGCTAGGGGGGAGGGTTGACCTTCATTTCTATTTACCGATTTGCGAAGTTCCTTTTGGATCCGCAAGGTCAAGGTCACGCGGTGACACCATGACCTTGACATTCCAGGAGGAGGTTTGTTAATCGGCAAATACCTACTACTACGAATAAATAATCTTAATTGTATTCATTATATGATAAATTAAACAGGGCGTTCCATTTAAAAAATTAGATTCTTTCCGTTGCGCCTAAATGTAACACCCTGTATAAAGGAAAATCATTTTTATAGAAAGTAGTGAGTCAAACAACTTTTGTACGAAACATTTTTTTCTTTCTTAAACGATTTACTTATTTGCGACCGCCAGGATACTAGTGATGTAAAAAAAGTAACAATTCGTTATACGAGTACTCGTTACTCCGCGAGATCCGAAGTAACTGTTACCGTATCACATCGGTACCAGTTACTTTGGATCTAACAGTTACTTTTTCCAAAGGCCAAGTATTGTTGGATAGGCGAAATCGACTTAAAAGTCGAAATGCGCAACAAAATTTATTTTTACATTGCAATAATAAGCTGTAATATCTTTTATTGTTGTTTTAATATTTTTATTTTATTTTATTATTGCTTGTTTTATAGAAGAAGTTTTGTTTTCCATTGTTAATGTGTTACTACTTTCAAATATTTTTGTTATATAATAAGTGAAACGTAAGTTATTAATAATTAAATAATAATAATTAAGAAAAATTCGTCGTTATAATATGCAGTGAAAAAGTAAATCCCATAACCTACACTCTATTTTTTGATATTAGTGCACAGTGCATAATAGCGTAACAAACACAATATAATATACGTACAGTATTTGTTTTCAAAAATAAGTGTAATATAAAATAAATTCATATAAGTATGTAGTCCAACTAAAACGAGTAATCGAACCTCGAGCGCAAACTAGTACTGGAACCTCAAGCGCAAACGATTACTTGTAACGAGTACAAAGTAACGAATACTTTTTCTGAAAGTAACGGACAGTTACAAATACTAAAAAGTAACTAAACTTTACATCACTACAGGATACTAATGACCCTGTATAGGGAAAAACTAAAAGTGATAAACAATGTTGTATATTAATACTGGAACAGATTTCAAACTAATCAGGGGTGGTTCCTTATGACGACAATACACGTCGTAATAATTACCTCAAATATTTGTTTTGGATTTCCACAAGTTATCCCTCCAAATTGACCAAAAGATAAAATTCCCAAAGACATGATATACGATAAATTAATTTCTAAACTTTTTAAAATTGAGTGTTCAATTAATTTATCTTTATTTGATTGGGAAACGCTGCACAGCCAAGACAAAGCATATTGAAGACAAACGTTATCATTGGCTTCTTGAGCACTCCTTATACACTCTTTAAGAGCCGCCAATGCTTCTTTCCTAAAATATTTTTTTACATAAACAATTTAAGTATAACAACAAAATATAGCATCAAATAATAATACAGTAAAACCTCGATATAACGGACTTTGGATATGACGGACAAAATATTTTTAAGGCTCGTTACTACCATCTTCTGGTTAAGTTATCTAAAGGATTATTACCATGGTTACGGCTATTTTACGCACTCTGATTGGCTAGTAGATGGGTTTATCTACAGGATGCCCATTATGTATGGAATATAGTATATATCTTGGTAGGTATCAACTTTTTGAAAAAACATTTTATACAAAAGTTGTTTAATATTTTATTTGCCATAATAAGACAGCATTCAATTGTTTTTATTTCAGAAAAAAAATGAGCAACAAATAAAAAAAAAATGAACAAATAAACAATTTTTACATTTTTCTCAAAAATTTTCTGATGTAAGGATACAAAAATTTTACGCCATCGTAAAGAGAAAAGTAATCTCTATCAAATGAGCCTAAAGAAAGATTACATTGCCATTTAAAAAAATTTAAGTATTATTCGTTACTCATTTGTTTTCTGAATTAAAAACCATTGAATACAGTCTTATTATGGCAAATAAAATATTAAACAAGTTTTGTATAAAATGTTTTTTTATAAAGTTGATTCCTACCAAGATATATACTATATTCCATACATAATGGGTACCCTGTATAAGATAAACTTAACTAAAAGATGATAGTAATGGACCTAAATCATAGTATTAATATTAAATAGATAATATTAGTAGGTATATTTAAATATAAATGTTAGCGCTCATAAATAAAATCCAACTTTGGGTATTCCTCAAGTTGCTATATTCTATGTTCATAGATAAACTGTGGCTATTCCCTGAGTTGTCTATATGATGTATAAATCAACGTCGGTAGTTCTAGTTTTAATTGTTATTCAGCGCTAGATTGTTATATATTTTTCATTAAAATAAAACTAGAACTAACACTAGAGCTAGAAACATTCGAATGTTTCTAGTTCTAGTGTTAGCCCTAGTTTTAGTTGTTTTTCAGCGCTAGATTGTTGTATATTTTTATTGAACTAAAAAATAAACAACGCAACAGTATGGATAGCTGTTCGAATTTGTGTACATTATAATTATTCATTCAAACAGTTTAAAGTGTAAATTAAAAATTTCTCATATAACAGACTTTTGGCTATAACATACACTCCTTTCCTTGTATTAGTCCCTTATATTAAGGTTTTGCTGTATTTTTAGGAAAGAAATAAACTTACTTATGATTAAAATGAAATTTAAGTATAGCTAAATTTAACACAGCATAACGAAAACTTTTATTTTTTTCTTCATTACTTTTACCATTTGTTGAAATTGTTTTATCAAAACATAAATGTAAACTATCTAAGGCACCAGAAAATTCTTTAATTCGTAAACAATTTAAATAACTTAAAAAGTAAGCTTCAGATATATCTGGATTTGTTTCCAATAAAGATCTAAGTTGTTTATGTAATTCCACTGGATTCAAAGCTCTCGTTTGGTCATGTGCTAATAAACCAGCTTGTGTTGAAATAAACAAATCAGCTTGTCTTCTTGACCATTGATTTTTGTTATTATACCAATCATTACCCAACGCAATAATTTTTTCTATGATTGGTTTTCTATTTTGTGATAAACTAGACTTATTTACATAAGCTATATACATATCTAATATAAGACTAGCTTCAGAAAATGATAGTTGATCAAAATAAATAATAAAAGTTCTTAAGAAGTAGCCTAAAATCGAATAATTAACATATTTTTATATAAACATAAAAACATAAACTTACCCAAAATACTATTTCTTATATGTGTAATTATCCCTTGAATATTAACATCCTCAAAAGGGGGTAATCTACCCATGTTATCCAAAACATCCAACAACCATCTCATACCAATATTAATCATACAATTAATGTTTGAAACAACCATGTCTACAATACGTTTATTTGCTATATGGTCCACATTACGTAGAGTGTTTAAGAAGTCGTCTAAAGATATATCGGGGCCTTGTACCAACTTTTGTATCACAATACAGTAAGTTCTTAACAAACTTCTCCTTAAAGGTTCTTCCATTGAGAAAAAATCCGTCGATTCCCGAAATTTTGAGAATTCGTACACTAACATTGCTACTGATAACCTGTGGGGAGTTATGTTTTCACGCCGGGAACGCTTTTTTATTATTGAAATATCTTTAAACGCATTCATGTCTGCGAAATGTTTGTGAAATGAACGTTTAAAGTTTTAAACGTCAGTTTGACAGATACATACAATTCAGAAGTTAGCTGCAAGTAAAATGTATAAATTTAACGTTAATTATAAAGTATGAATTAATTCACAAAACTTTATAAGTACATTATTTATATTAAAACAATAATAAATTAAACAATTTTTTTTTTATTTGAAATATATCTCTTCAAATTCGGATTGATAGGTACATTAATAAATGAAGTGAATCCGAACGAACTCTGGTAATATAGAAAATTAATATAAAAAGTTGATATATATTTATTTTTAATTATTTAAATTACAGTGAAATGTATTATTAATTATAAACTAAACTGTAGAAATTATTAAACGAAAATTTTTTGATCGCATCATGAAACGGACAATATCTCCATTTCAACATAAGTCTATGACATATTGCCGGTTCTTTAAGGTATCGATTTTTGAAGTTATAAACAGTTTTTAACAACAACAAAAAATGGTAAGATCTATTTAAAATTAACTCTCTTTAGATAAATTTCTTATTTTTTAGTTGTTCTACTCATTTTTCAAATCGCTTGTTGGAAAAGATGTTGTTGTTGAACTTAAAAACGATTTAAGGTAACCTAACCTCCAAAAATATAGTATTTTGTTTAATAACTACTTTTTATAGCATTTGTGGTACTTTACATTCCGTGGATCAGTACTTAAATATCAAATTGACTGATATAAGTGTTACAGATACTGAAAAATACCCTCACATGGTATGTACAGCTATTTTAGGTATAATAAATATTTTTAATAGACGGATGTTTTTAGTTGTCGGTGAAAAACTGTTTCATTCGTGGATCTGTGGTGAGATATGTACAATTACCAGCGGATGAGGTTGATACTCAACTGTTACAAGATGCTGCACGGAAAGAAAGCAGTGTTCCAGCAAGATAGTTCTGTTATAACATTTGATTTATAATGATTTAACCTAAACTTAATTAATAATACTAAGTTAATTTAGAATAAGAATATGTTTTCATTTATGGAATTAATTAAGTTAAAATAAGGTACTTTCAAGGAATGAAATAAAATAGTAATTTAATAAAATATATTTACATATTTTTTCCTAAAACGACGTTTTCATAGTTGAAACTAATATTGACCCAACAAGTTGAGGTGTGTCTTTAATTGGCACTGCCCAGTAAAGATACCCATTAGAACTTTAATGATGCTACAAGCAAGTCCTAAAATATTCCCGGGTTTGACAGTGGCATTGTTAATAAACAACTTAGGGTGTCTCATTCCAGGTGAACTGGTTCATAGTAGGCGAAGTTTCTCTTCAGCCCACAGTCCAATCCTATGTTTGGCCATTGCAAATGATATATCAACCGCTTTAGTGGCCCCACAAGCGCTTTAGCGCTGCCCTCTCATGCTACTTCATCTGCCATATCATTGCCAGCAACCCCAGAGTGACCTGGGACCCAGATTAGAGAAACTCTGTTACCACACCTGAGTGTGTTTAAAGTTCTCTTACAATCATTAACCAGAGCCGACACCGTTTTGACGGCCTGTAACACCTGAAGAGTGGTTTGACTGTCTGAGAAAAATCATACTGTCATGTTTTCCCTCCCAAGAAGGATTTTAGCACCCATGTCAATAACAAATACTTCCGCCTGGAATACAGTATCGATTCTGTGTGAAAAATGTAACTATGTTTTACAGGAAACCCATGTTGAGGGATCTTTGGTGGTTGAAATTTCTCAGCTTGAGCAGGAAACATCCCCTGACGCCAGACCAACACACAGAAAATTGCAAGCAATGTTCGCAAAAAGCAAACCGTTCGTTGTAATGAGATGTTCGTATTTGCGATATAAGGAACTAATTCGTTATAATGAATGATAATGGGTAGGCTCTAGAGGTAGGCTTACGTAAAGATATGTATTAGCATCGACTGTGTAATAAGTTTAATATAATAAGTACGTTATATCATAATAAACATTTTTTGAAAATAATCACTTATTTTTTGCCTCAGAATAGGCATTGTTCGTCTTAGGCATTCCTCAGTAATTTTATTCAAACAATTCATGAAATTTTCAGAAACAACTGTTAATTAAGAAACGAAAATTAGCAAATTTGTGTTGATGTGGATGTAAGGAATGGTAGTTGATATAGTGAGGGTTTCCTAAAGATATTATACTCGGTTAGACCAACAGGATTTCTAGTTAAAGTTAAATCTAAAAAGTTAATCATTTTATGTTTTTCAATATCTAGAGTAAAATTAAGTTTAGCATGTAAATTGTTAATATAATCATGAAAGTTGTTAAGAATGTTGATATCGCCTCTTCAAATGCAAAAAATATCATCCACATATCTGTACCAAGCAACAATATTCTCCAAAAAAGGGTTGATAGGATTCATAATATGTTTATTCTCAATATCATCCAAAAAAATTTCAGCTAGTAATCCCGACAATGGCATCTCCATAGGAAGGCCATCCGAAAGAACAAAGAATTCATCATTGAAACAGCAATAGTTCTGTGAAACAACATGTTTGATAACCGTATTAAAATCCTGGACTTCATTTATATTATTGAAATGTGAAGTAAATAAATTGGAAACAATATTAAGTGTGTAATCTAGAGGTACGTTGGGATAAAGATTAGTGACGTCGAAAGAGATTAGAATACAATCATCAACATTGATGCTGTTAGTTAAATTTATGAAATGATTATAATTATCTATTTTAAAAGCAGGTTTGAAAAGTATTTGTTTAAAAATATTGGACATAAAGTTAATAAGTTTACGTGTAGGTGAATTACCAAAATTAGTAATGGGCCTGATGGGCATATCTTCTTTAAGGAGCTTAGGCAATGAATAAATTGTAGGTAAATTAGGTTTGATCTCTAAAAAATAAGAAGCTTGAAATTTTTGAATCAGAATTTTTGAAAAAAGGGGTGTATTCGGCTAAGGTTGCTTTACAATTATTTATAATCTCTCTAGTTTTTCTCATTATTTTGTCTAAAGGATTAAATGTAATTTTCTTATAACTATTGGAATTCAAAAAATCATAAGTCTTTTGTAAATATATGTTTCTATCTAAAATAACTATGCCCGCTCCTTTGTCAGCTTTAACAAACACAGCGTCTTTTATTTAATAATATTTGTGTTACCTTTGGATTGTACAGAGAGCGGCTAAAACTTCAACTCTTAAAGGTGCTATTATATTAACTTCTTCTTCATCGTGTTCTTCGCCTTCTTCTTTTTCTTCGGATTCTTGCTCTATATTCACTACTGCTAAGTCTATATCTACTGCTTCTGTAGTCCTTATCGCACCATCAACTCTAACGTAATCAATAAAACTAACCTGTATCAGTTGACCTGACAAGGTTTGTTGATAATTTTCCCATTCTACATCAGCAAATTCAGGCTATCAATGAGTAAAGCATATAACTAAAAAGCTACTGACGAGCTACATCACGAATCAACGCCCTTATCGCTTGTAAAATATTCCATTTTGGCTTTGATTCTATTGCTGCTCTAACAAGTCGTGCACGATATCGTTTCTGCATAGCTGCAATTATGCCTTGATCAAGAGGTTGCAGTGCACTTGTTGTGGAAACCGCAAAATAAACGACGTTAACATTGAGCAAATCAAATCCGATAACGTTATGTGCTGAACAATTGTCCATTGTTAACAACACTTTTCTGTTTAGAGCTGCCATGTTGCATTGAAAACGAAGAAGCCATTCTCGAAATGCTATAGAAGTTACCCAGATATTTTTCTGAGCGATATAATGGCATGGAAAATGGAAACGATCGAATTTATTTAAACATCTTGGGTTTTTTGATTTTCCTACTATCCATAGTTTTAATTTTTCACTTCCGTCAGCATTGCAGCATAAAACTGCTGTTATTCTTTCTTTGCTTTTAGTGCCCCCATAACATTTTTTGAATTTAAAATCCAAAGTACGGTTTGGCATTAGATTAAAAAAATACCAGTCTCATCAATATTAAAAACATCTTGATTCATCTTGGCTTCAACCCGAAACATTCGCGAAGCAAGTAAGTCTGAAATCGTCCACTTCCAAAACTAACCACTAAAAACTAGCTGGAATATGGTCTTGACTGAGTAGACAAGGAAAATTTTCGTGTTCGCAATTACGATAATAGTTTGCATTGAAATTATATTCTACGGGTGAAATAATTGTTCGAAGTTCATTATAATGAAATTTCGTTATAATGAAAAAAGTGTCATATAACTTGTGTTGCAGACATTAGTGGCATAATTTTGGTTCGCAATAACGACAATTTCGTTACATCGGTGTTCGCTATATAGAGGGTTAACTGTAGAACATTTGAACCAAGCAAGTAATGCCTTGGAAAGTCTAGCTTCCAAACGGCAATCCCAGACATCGCTGGATGGATTTACTCGCTAGTAAATTAAAAACACTATCTCGAAGAACGCAAGACAACCTCGTTTTAAGGCAGAGATCAGTGAACTTGATTGTTCCATTGACAAGTTTATATTTCCTGTTTGCCCTAGAACTATTTCTACATCGTGTAGTCTTCTTTCTCATAGCCAGAACAACGTAGTTTCTCCTGTAAATTAATCTATGTAAATTCTCCTGGCGCTGGCCACGCAGCTTTCTCAGCAACTGATTATACCAGCAACTCTCAAGGAAATTATGAAAATACTCAATCAAGTGATGCAACACTATTACTTGTTATTATAGTAATATAAATGGGTTTTTTAATAACAAATAAGTCACGTTAAGTTAAATAAAATAATAAAAATAAAAATCAATAAAAAAAATTAATAGAAAAATGACACAGTTATTTATTTCTTATCAGTATTTCATCCTTTAGAACTTGTGTGATATTTTGAATAGGTATCCAAGACTAGTAAACTATCACCATTAGATCACTAAAACATTTGATTTATAATATCGAATTTTTCACTACCAAATATAACATTCAGGGAATTTTTAGGATATCAAGAAAGTCTAACACTGACTAAACGACAAAGGTGAGCCTGATGTGACTTGAATGACGACCAGTGTCCTGCAAGTGCAGCTCCACTCAGTCCGGTGTTACGTATAATCATAGATTGAGCGTAAAACCAATAATTATTCTTTTGTTTTCCTTTTCTGGTACAGGACCGTAGCAATGCCTTGCTATTAGCGTCTGCTTGAAGTGTTTAAGGTTTCTTGAAGTTTATCGATAGTGATACAGGAGGTGATGAAGCTGTTTCATGGAATCTGGGTGAAACTTCTTCTTTAATCAGTTTTAGAAAGTAACTGGGGCATTCTCAAATCCCAAAAGTAATGACTTTTAACATGTATTTTGTTTCGTTTGACATCATGTATGCAGCTAAGTGTTCAGATTCCTTCGCCGTTGGAAGTCGCTACAAGCTATATTAGAAGTCGAGAACGAACAACTTGGTATATGATGGATCAGCAACGTTTTGAATGTAGCAGCAAATTTTTTAAACAATCATATGGTCAAATTTCCCCAGCATGTCTCTGTTTTATCTCGCGAAAGAATTTTTATTCGGAGGTCGAACACAGCATTTTCGTGAATAAACTACTGCTCGTATAACATGATGAGGCGCGGTAGTCGTAGGACGACTACAAATTTTCCATGAAAGTAGTAACATCAATTGAAAATCAAATGGCTGTTCCCAGGACTACGAAATCAGCTATTTTCTAACTGTCGATTTAATAACCAAAATGTGCAGTAAATTATTGACAGCTTTTATACTCTTTGGAACATTTCTTTCTAATTGTTCAGGAGTTATGGATGTAAAACATTTTATTATCCAGCCTCCTAAAAAATCGGTTCGTTATATTTATATTCTTTACCTACAAGAAGTTTTCTATTACTTTGTATTCGATTGTTGATGCTAACGTTACAATTTTATTGGCGTCTATGATGGTGTTTACGAATGCCGTGGTGCAATTTTTGTAAAAAGCTTTTGTAAATAGTATGGCTAAAAAAAGCTCTTTAACGGGACATGTTTTCGATGCCACAAAATACTGTCTGCTTACTTTATTCTTCATCGTTCCACTCATATGCCCAGAGATAAGATGCAGATATAAAGATGTTAATTAACATATCTATGCACTTACATTAAATAAGAGGTGTAAGATGGATCCAAGGATATTTTCGTAGGATTCTAACTTCAACAGGATGATAGGCATTCGTTTACCCCCACAACTTGTCCTGTTTGGTTTTTCTGACATAATGCAGTATACACGCAACATACAGTTGATGAGGTAACCACACTTTCAGTTTTATGAATACAACCAGTTGGACACCTTTATCAAAAGCCTGTGACCCGTCCAGAAATAAACTACAATTCCTCAGTTGTTTCTCTTGTCGTTCGCGTTACTACATGTATGTACATTTAATGGTTCCATTTTGCTGCTTATTTGAGTTACATTCCTTGAGGAGAAAACAAAATTGGTGTACCCAGATCCCGTTCGGTTTGGTTGGGCATCTATTTTTATATGTAGATGTTGACAATTGGTTGTATAGAGATTGTTTTTTCGTAATGTTGTTTTTATCAATGTTGTCAATTGGTTGTATACACCATTTTGAAAACGCATTAGAAAGCCGTACACATTTAATGGTTGTTAAATGTTGATCATATGTATTTATTATATGGCCAACCACAGTTTATCTTAAGTCGATGCTTTCCTATCAATATTTGGTAGATGAAATAATGTTTGCAGCACTTGTGAGTCAAACTCTGTATTAGGTGTAGTTAATACTTTCAAAAACAAGCTTAAGTCCATGCTGATATAATATGAAGCTATGAGTGCAACAAGCATTAATAGACCGATTATGCGGTTTGCAAGGAAACCCCTTTTTTCTTTCAACTCTTTCAATAAGTTACAGAATGGACGAAGAAAAGCCATCTAGAATGTTAATAAATAGGAAAATGCAGGGAGTAAAACCGAAGGGAGGCCCAGGGACAAGATGGGAGGATAAAGTCGATGTGAACGCAAGAGAAGTGCTGGGATGTAGGAATTGGAAATGAGAGGCGAGAGATAGGGAAGTATGGAGGATGAAGATGTAGGAGGTCAGGGTTCGGCAGCGGGCTGCAGCGTCATAGGAGGAGAAGGACTACCTTGTGTTGAAATCGAACTATCCATATCTAGCATAAAAATATGTTTAGTACTTTCAGGAGCTAGCTGGATTTGGTAGCTGTGCCTCATTTATCGGCACCGACTGCGATGAGTGTTTGAGTGGTTCTGGTCCTGTGAAACTCAATCGAATATGTACGTTTACGGTAATTTATTCCTTCTTACTTTCGTTCTTTGGTCCTGAATTTTATCGTCAGTGTCCTCCAATAATTCATTCTCGCTATCAGAATCGGATACACATTCAAAATCGTTATTTTCACTATTACTGTTAATATGACGTGCTGTTTTGAGCATGTTAATATTTTTCAGAAAGGAATATATAAAGTAGTTTACTTTTTATCAGTTTTAGATTACGAATTTTTTAATTTTTCGTTTAATGTCAAAAATTGTAATTTCCAGTAGATTATTATCAAGGAATTAAGTACATAGTCGTTACTTTAACAAAGAATATTTTATTTTAGGTTGATATACTAACGTCCGTATTTTTAAGGCTTCAATTGTACAAACGTAATTAAATTGTTATGAAGTCAGAACTTAATAAAAGGATTTACAGAAAATTGTAAATATGTGAAATAACTTGAGAATATTGATATATGATTTATTTATTGAAAATATACATAATCTAAAAGTACATATATATTTATATATTTGGCAAAATATATCATCACAATTAATAATTCGACTGGAATAATCTATTCTGTGAGATACCACGTGTTTTATATACAGCTGTCCCGGGAAACTATTTAAAAAGCTCTAAAAACAAATCATAGTTGTACGATATGTACAAAAACTATTTAGTATAATGTAATTAAAGTGCTTCCTAACATTTCAACTTAAAACATGAGAAAATATGTTAATTTTATTTAAAGTTAGAATGTTTTAATTTCCCGAGCATTTGTATTTAATCCTAAATTTAAGAATTAATACCTCAGATTGACCGTTTCTAAGGCCTATACAATATGTTTAAAAATGAGTTCTTAATATATTACACAACTTTGTCTTAAAAAACAAACAGCCTGCACTTTGTCTCCTATAAGAGCAATACCGTTAAATCTATACCCTAAAATTGTAGTTTGTGTACATATATACATTTAAATTTTCATACACCACATTTTTATCCACAACATTTTAAAAAACTTTTTGAGTTTAAATTCCATTCAACATTAGAAAAAACAATCAGTTCAAGTTTTTTTTATTATTTTTTCTTTTCGTGGAATTGACTAGAAAAGTAAATACTGAAGATAGACAGATTATAACTCCGCCTTTCATTGTTCCGAATTGAAGTAAGAATTTTGCATTAGGTAGAGTTTATCGATGGGGTTTGCTATACCCGTCGCGGACATCGTTTCGTGACTATGTTGATGGGTTGATTGGAGTTCCAAGTTTTGAATCGACATCGTATCAGATGTTCCTTCGTCTAAATGATCGAAATTTGTACTGTCGTCCAATGATATATCTGAACTGCAGAAACTTTCACCTGAATGTGCTGGATATGCATCTAGAAATAAATAAAAATAAGATAGTTTTAAAATAATTTTATGGTTATTTTAATGTAACACAATAAAACAGTTTACATTTTCATTTAAATTCCCATTTCAAAATGTAAACTCACCGTCTGGAGAATATGGTATATTGGGATTAAGCGGTCTCGTTGAGGTTGGAAAATGTGAGTCGCCAATATTGCCGAGGCCCATGTAATGTCCATGTTCGCTAGACGGTGATTCTTGTTTAATAACTTTGTCGTGTTTCTCACCCTTCTCCTTTTCTGAAGTGCCTTTGCCGTCGTCCTGTTTCGCTTTCCTTTGTATCTTCTTCATTTTAGCCCTTTGGTTTTGAAACCACACTTGAACCACCCGCACGCTTAACCCGGTTTCTTTCGCTAAAGCTTCCCGGACTTTTCGGCACGGTTTCGGGCTGACTTCAAAAGATGCTTTAAATTGTCTCCGTTGAGCCGAGGTTAATATCGTTCTCGGTCGTTTTGGACCTCTTCTTCCGTCGCGCGGTCGATTTCCTTCGTCTAAAATATCATCGTCTCCCGAACTTGCTTGTTGCATAAGGTACATTTCTTTTTCGAAGTCTTGTCTGCAGAATAATTGTCCAGCGCGTAAGACAAATTGCTCGCCTTTTTGTAACGGTTGACAGCATACTACGCAAACGAAACAAGGCAAATGGTAAACGTGTTGTTGTGCTCTCATAACCATTTCGTGGGGTAAAAGACGATCCCCACATCTCGAACATTTTATACCAAATATTCTGTCGTAATCTGTTTTGCAATAAACTTTGGTGTTTCTTGTATAACAAGTTTGATTGAGTAATACTCCACATATACAACAAGAAAGGCAATGTTCGTGCCAACTTGAATCCGCAACTCTCATTAAATACCTATCGTGAATTTTTTGTCCGCAACCCTCACATATTTCATAATTTTTCTCGCATTTGATCAAGGCGTCGTCTGCAAAAAAGAAATCGTTTTAAAAAAACTTTCGAAATAAAATAAATAAACTAGGAATGGATTGTGTGAAATGATTTCAGTTGTGTGTAGGGGGAAGAAAAACGTTAAACGTCCCGACGGAAAGAGGAAACTCTTACGGGGAGGATAATGAATGCCGAACAAATAGACGGCGATGTTGGCGGAAAGCCTTCGGACAACGAAACCGTTTTCTCGCTGTATATAATGAATGTCAATGAGGCTGCGTGGTATGATGACTGATGGAAAAGACAGGACGCGGGGTGGCTTTTGAGATTAAAACCACTGAAAGGCGAATTTACGCATGAACTGAGATGACGGAAAGCTTTATTCTGTATAATTAGCCGATTTTTATTGTTTCTTTGAGAAGTAGGGGGTGGATGTTTACAAGAAAGGAAGGTTAATTAAAATGTCATAAATGATTTATTAAGGAGTCAATTTACTGAGTGTTACCAATTCTATTTTCCTATTTATATTATACATATAACAAATAGGAAGTGTACTAAAAAATATTTAATGGATTTCTTTTTAATTTGATGTTAACTGTTAAATGGTGGTTAGCAACTGCTAAACGATATTGCCAACTACTAACTTGCATTTAGTTTTGTGTATTCTGTTTACAGTTCAAGTAAAACATACTTGTTGAAACTTCAAAGTAAAGTTTGTTCCGAACTATAGTTTTATGCGGTTGCCAAAAATACAAAAGCATTGTCGTTAATTCGCAGTGATATATCTATAGCAGCCTCATAATTGCATCATCTCGGTCGTAAATGCTTCATTTCTATCTCTCGTAATTTATCTCGAAATGCAAAGTTTACGACATCGGTATACAAATTACTGCATCTAATTAAAATCGATTATGATTTTCAGCTCAAATAAAATTGTTTTTTTGTTTTATTTTTGTTGGGAATGAAGACATAAAGAAACTTTTTGATCATTTGCAATGATTGGACTGCATGAAATGATAAACCATAGAAATCGACAGAATCCTTCTTTATAATACAGATAGAGACTTTCTTCGTTCGTTCGAGTCTTGCACATCTGATGTAGGGTGTCTTGCTCGGCATTTTTGGAGAATTTTTCTTTCAGTATTTTATGCCTCTCTGAGATTGGTTTTATTTCCATTCTTGAATGTCGATCCTCATTGTTTATGTTGTGAAGTGGATTGTTCGAGTGTCTAATTTTTGTCAGAATTCGTAAATATTTTCTTTCTGCTTTCTTGATTATTTATCTAAAATGTTTACTCGTCTTGTGAACAGAGGAAGTTTGTATCTTTTTGTAGTGTGCTTTGAATTTCAACTTGTTGTCCAGGGTTATGCCCAAATATTTGACCAAGTTTGTAGGTTTTGTAATTGATGTGCCTGTCGTAATGTGCTGGAATTGATCGGTGATTCTGGAATGTGGGTTCAATAGTTTGAATTTGTCCGGATGGGGAGTGACTCTCCATTTGTGGAACCATGATGATATGTTGTTGCATAGCGTCTGGAGTGATTCTATTACTATTTGAAGGTTTTTCCATGCGATATTAATGTTGTGTCATCTGCATACTGAAGTATGTAGCTATCCGGATCAATATAGTTGGTGTCTGGATGGGTTGGAGGGTATATATCATAGCAGTAGACGTTATACAGGAGATTGGAGATCCTTGAAATAGTCCTTGGAGAGGGGAGAAAGGGAAGGATGTAGCATTATTAATTTTGATGCTCAGTATCCTGTCGCGAAGATATTCATCTATAATTTTCAGGTAGGGTGTAGGTATTCCTAGTTTATCCATCTTGTATAGAAGGCCCTGGTGCCAGACTGTGTCGAAGGCTTCATTTATGTCAAGAAATAAGATCGTGGTTTTTCGGTGATGTAGGTTCGTTACTTGTATGTTATTTGTGAGAATAATGAGTGGATGAATTGTTGATTGTTTCTGTTTGAAGCCAAATATATAGGGGTTTTGTCTTTGATAAGGTGAAGAATTCTGGAGTTAAGAATACTTTCGTAGATTTTTCAAATTGCAGACAGTAGGGTGATAGGGCGGTAGCTTTGTGGAAGAGAATGGTTTGTTCCAGGTTTGGGGATTATTATAATTGTAGCTTTTATCCATGTTGATGGGAATATACGGTTTGGCAGAAATTGAAAATTTTACGGATTAAGTTATGTACTTCTAGGTTTAGTTGTCTCAGTAGTTTTTTGGTTATTAAATCCAATCCGGGGCATTAACTTTTGCCTTTTGATATTTGTTCATCATATTCTTCTTGAGTTATTTCTAGTATTCCGTTATGCGCGTGGGTTGCTATAGTTAGAAATCTTGTGTACCATTCGTTAATATATTCTTGGTAATGATTGTCGTAATCGTGGTTTGGTTTGGGGATGAACGCACTTTGAAAGTGTTGGGCAAGTATATCACATTTCTGTTGATCTGTTCTATATTCTATATTATTGTACGTTATTGTCGGAATGTCGCTGGTCTTCTTGTATTTTGACACTTTTTTGATTTTCTGCCATATGTTCTGCCGCGATCCGTTTCTATTTTTTTGTATGTTTCTAACCAACATCTATCGTTGGTTAGAAACATACAAAAAATCCAGTTGGTATTTTTGGATTAATTTTTGAATTATTTTGTTTTCTCTGTTTAGTACTTTTTTTAGTATTCTGTTGTTTGTTCGTTTATACTCTCTGTATATTCGTCTCATGTTGTGAATTATTTCGAGTATGTAGTTGGGGAGTGTATATATATATGGAGAGTATCTTATTTTCGGTGAGTGGCGGCGTGTGTAAGGGAGTTGTGAAAATCTTGTAGGATGTTAGTTCATTTGTGTTGTTCTGGATTTAGTTAGGTTATATTTTGATCTTTCGGTATGGGTTGGTGGGGTTTGATTTGTGCAGATTTTGAACGTTATCGGCAAGTGGTCGAAGCATAAATCACCTGTAAGACTTATGTCTTTTACAATTTCCGTAATATTTTCAGTGTGGATTAATATATTCGGGGTTGTGTCGTTATTTGCTGTCATCAGGAATGTAGGGTCTGCATGTCTTTTTCTGAAATAAGAGTTGTCTAAGAACGATTGAAACTGTTTGTGTTTAGATGGGTTAAGGTTGAAATCGCCTATTATTATTACGTATTTGTATTGTGCTGCTTTAGAGAAAATGTTCTTTTCAAGAGGCTGATGTGGGTGGATGTAGACAAGAAATATGTGGATTTCTCCTTTATCGAAAGGGATGGTGACGTGGAGTTTATAATACATTTGATTAAAGGAACAAATTTGTGCATAGCCTTAAATATACATAAATGATCATTAATTTTGAATCGACTGTTGTTCGAGGTTATAACAGCATACCAACATACCAGCATAAAACAAATATACCTTCGGTATTAATCTTATTATTCTTTCGAGAACACTTCCACTCTTCCAGGAACCAAGCTAAAATTAATTAAGTTACATCATCTAATAATTAGCCATGACCATTTTCAACACTCAAACAGTCCGAATTGCAGTTTAGTTTAACGGCATCAATTAGTAAAATGATATGGGAATGTATTTATTTATGAATTTGTTGTTTTCTATAACTTTCATGGCATTGGGGAATAAAAATGTCTTCTTCTTCTTCGCCCCCTCTCTCTAGACGTCCAGACCGTTGTATGTGTTGTTCTTGTTAAGGTCTGTATCTGAACTATACCCTAAGAAGTAGACAGAAGCTGTTTCTCTATCTCTTTGGTGATCTTTTTGGTGCCTAGAGGTTTGGTTCCGGGTGGGTTATTTGTAAGCACAAATTTCGGCAATCTGTTATCTGACATTTCACTGACGTGGTTGTGCCAAAATTTGTTGCGCTGTCTTCTTCAGCTCTGATCTTTCTTGAGATTGTCCTCAGCATTCTCATTTCTGTTCCTCTTAACATGCTCCTAGTTTCGTGTGTGTCTTCATGTATTACAATGCCGTAAGTTATTATTGGGTGGATGCAGCTCTTGTACATCCGCACTTTACTATTCATATGCCTGAGTTTCTCAGGTCTTTTGCAGGATCGTGAATACTGGCGATATGTACATCTACCTGTCGAAAATTCATCTTGCGCTTCACATCTTGCTACGATATCATATGCATTTAGTTTTTGTAGTATTTGCAGGTCATTCTCTGAGTTGGCGATTATCGTAGTATTGTCAACGTAAAATATTATTCATTTTTTTGGCCCATTTAGTACATCTCCCTATCGCACTCTGTCAAATGTTTCGGACAAATCGACAAAGCATACCTGTGCAGCTGTGTTGAAATCAGTGAATTCTTCTTTTAATTGTTTCATAACGAATAGCGCTGAACGGACGCTTCCGTTATTGAACGACTCTTTCTAAAGCCTTGTTGTTCTTCGGTATTTGTAATAAAATTTTACCGCTTATTTTTTATTACACTTGTAAACAACTTCATAGATGTGTTTAGAAAACTTATTCTTTTGTAATTTTCTAGGCTAGTGTTTTGCATTTTTTGAATATAGGGTTGTTATACTATTATGCCATTTCGTTAGTATTTCTGACTGGCACAACACACTGTTAAATAGCTGAATCAATTTCTGTTTTGTTTAGATTCTCTGTTTATCTGGATAGTAGTTCTTGTGCTCGCAGATTCATTAACATGTGTTGTCTCTTCAGTGGAGTATAATTGTTTAAAATATTTTTGTCAAACTTCCTTTTATACCTACATATACATTTGTCCGTACATACACGTTGAGTAGGTTCTTTCGATTTGTGAGCAACCAACATACAGGTCATAGTCTTTTTTAGTTCTGTCAGATATCCAACCTCTTCCCAAAACTAGGGTTTAGTGTTTTTGGTTACATTAATGTTTAACCTTTCTCTTGTCGTTGTTTAATTTAATTTTTATTCTGTTTTCGTATAGACGCTTGTGTTGTAGAATATCAATGATTCTAGGTTATATTTTCCAACGGATTCAGGTACTTTTTCGAATGATCGTGATTTTGAATAGGATAACGATATGATCCATTAATATATTTTCGGATCTGAATGCTGTTAAATTTAATATATGCGATAGAAATGTTGTTGTATTTATTGTATGATTATATTTTTCTTATGTAAATCAAAAACTAATGAATTCATATTTTTAATCTGTTCATCACTTATAGCACCACGGTTCTCTGGAATTGAATTTATCTCAAAAAATGCGCGTTAAAAAATAACATAGAATATACCTCGAATTTTTATCGAATTGATTCCTAATATATTATTTTTCAATTGAAAAAAAAATGTTGTATTGTTTTTTGTGTTCTTTTGTAATAGTGTGGATATCGATTTTTAATAGAACTACAACTTCTGATAACAACATCAACCAATATAGGAGCAGGTATCGCATTCTGACAATGATCTGTATATAGCAAATTTGATTAGAATTTGTAAACCCAAATAAATTTTTAAATTTGTAACTTGCACAACTTCTTTCCAAATTCGAAAACCTACGAAATGCAATCTACATATAATTAAAAGACATTGAATTACATTGAAAAAGAAATTTTGCTAAACCTAAATTCTTGCTTAAAGAATTCTTCAATATAACAGTTATTTATACAAAAATATCAAGAACATGAAATTTTAAGCCGAGGTCACTTGCGGGTGAGGCGTTATATTGTAAATTGTTCAAGAAACGTTAAATTAAAATAGGCACCTTTGTTAGACCTAATTTGAAATTCATCACTAATCATATCTTTTAATGCTAAGATCACGTGTGGCCAAGGCATCACAATGGAGACTGTTAAAAAACGTTAAGTTGAAAGAGAAATTTTGTTAATCCTAAAGTTAATTAATACATTTTTTAATACAATTGATATTTATATTAAAGATCGAAACAGAGTAATAGGAAAACATGGAGAGAAAATAAGAAAGATTGTTGTATTTCTGCAAAATACAAAATATGATAGTAACAAATACGTTTTTTAAACAAAGACAAAGACATAAACAAATACCAAAAGGAAATAGAAAGTAAAATTGAAAGATCTGTCATCCACTACTTGTAGCAAAAAGTAATGGATGCGTTGTACTAGACACGACGGTGGAAAGAGGATACTAAATAGCAAGCGATCTGTAGTTAGTTACCACAATATGGATAAATAAACAAAGACAAAATGATAATAAAATAAGAAGCAAGAACAAAAAGTGTATAAATCCATAAAAATGTGTAAATTCCGAAATGAGGAAGTTAACTATAAATATGCGGAATAAACAGACATTTTTGTTAAGTCTGCATTCGACACTGATAATATCACGTATATTTTTTAAAGTATAGTGTTTACACCCCAATATAGCGAAGGAAGCATCTTTGTTGGGTTTAAATTCATTCTCAGTGATGCTCACATATGTCCTTTAATATTGTAGTTATTTCACAAAGATCGCGCAATTTTATATTTGTGTCGAGGTCGCTTGCTTCCAAGGCTATGATATTATTAAATATCATGGCTGAAATATTTTTTAATATTATATTTATTTATATTTCACGCTTACGACTTTTTTTTTGTTTTCTTTAGGGTGCTTGTGGTCGAGACGATACAATTTATATCGTTAAAGAGATATTAATTCGAGAGAGGATAGTTAATCAATATAATAAATATATTTTTTTTTTAGATAATTGTTATTTATCTTCCAGATCATTCATTTTTTTTTAACTCAAAGTTACTTAAATCTGAAATTCTGCAATTTCTTTATATCATCTATGTTTTAAAAATTAATTTTCATAATACATTATATTTATATATCAAATATATATTCGTAATCATTCTATTTATATTACTATTATTTTTCAATTAAAAGCATAAACTAAATTTCAACTGTTTATTATTTTACAATTATTAATCTGTGCGTGATGCGTACATGATGACGTAGTAATGTAATCAATCCCACATATTTGGTGACCTATTAATGCCCAGGCAAAGAACATAATTATAACCAGCTCTGAAATGTTAATGCAGGCAAATATCGATTAGTAGTACCTCAATCCTCATATATGTAGTGAAATAAATACCATGATTCAATTTTTAATGTAAACAAACATTTCATATAAAAAGACTCATTTTAAACTAACTGAAAATAGGGTACTTTCTTCTATGCGGAATTTTTATTTGGCATTCTACTTTAAGTACAACTATATATGGGATGACTTATTTAAACTTTTTACTTACTATTAAGGAAAAATGTTTTTTAAAATTGTTAATAAAATTTGATTGATTTGAAAGTCTTTTTTATTTGTGGGCCAGTATTACATTTCGAATGCTGTTTCTTGAAGCTTATGAGTTCCTGCGATGATCACTATAAATAAACAAGTGATTTGAAATCGTTTGGCAACAAACCTGGTAATCTACCGACTATGGAATCCTCTCTATTGAAGATCAAATGTTTGCGAAATATTTCTGCCAAAGCAATGATTGTAATTCGTTATGTGAGGAAAAATTAATTAGCAAATTGCGTCCATACTTTTAGGTGTTCAAATAGTTAGAACATTGTAGCGAAATATTGACTGAATAGAGATGGACGCTGAATTCGCTGAATGATGTTGAAATATATAATACCTCCCGTTACTAAATTACTAACATTTCAAAAATCGTATAAATTACTTAAAATGTATTAGCAAAACCATTTCGTTTTTGTCGCGCTTATTCTTGAACATTTTAACCCATTACCGGTCATGAGCCCAATTATAGAGATGAACCCCATAAGGCTACTAGTAAATAGTTTTTTGACAAATCACTTAAAGAGTTGATGATAACAGAAAGTGTGCGTGATGAATTTTAAAATATAATTCATAATTTTAAACTCTCAAATAAATGTATAAAAATATGTTGGATTTTTACAAGAACTTATGTAGTGGCGTAAAGATGAAGACATTGACCTTCAATACATTAAAAAATATATGAGCTATTAGATACCATCAAATACAGGGGTTCTTACATCTTGCATCTTTGAACAAATACATAATGAAGAACTTGCTTAGTTTTTAAATTTCGCCCTTTAATCGATAAACTAAACTAGTAATTTTTTTAAATTTGTTTTTAAAGAATTCACTATTGATGATTTGGTTATAATGGCCACCTTTATCTCAAACAATTCATAAAAAGAGAACCTATCAAATTTGGGTAGTTAAAACTGGATGAAAATGGGAAAAAATGATGAAGGAAAGTTATTTATTTTTATCAAAATCAGCGCGATAATGTTTCGACCAACCTGGTGGCTTTCGTCAAACACAAAGTGAAATGATGTTGAGAATCATATTACGTCTTGAGCAGCGTTGCCAACCTATGTCAGTCAAATATCGGCAGAATCAATGGCAAAAAATCGGTAGGTTTAAATATAAAGTCAGAAATTGTTGTTTGATACAGGAACAGGTGTATAGCTTGACGCGACGGCCCGTTCGTGACGTCACTCATGAGTAACTACTATTTCACACTTTGAATTAGCAAATGTGTTTAGCCGTGCGTCTCTAAAGACGGCTAAACCCGAATGTTTCTAGTTCTAGGTCTAGTGTTAGTTCTACTTTTAATTCAATAAAAATATACAACAATTTAATGCTGAATAACAATTAAAACTAGAACATCATTGTCTGAAAAAAACACAATGTAATCGCAATTTAAAGAAGTGTACTGGAATAGGTTAGAATTGTTGAATAAAACAAAAAGCTCATAAAAATCGATAGATTAAGTCGTATATCGGTAGACTATCTTCTATATCACTATATTGGGAAATCTACCGATAAGGGTTGGCAACGCAGTCTTGAGGATAAATCAAATTTTTTTGAAGGAGAAGAACACGTCTAAAGATCACATCAAGTGGGTTGTATCTTTATACAGTTCTGAAATGAGTTACTGCTTTTAAATGAATATACTATGTATATTGTGGAACAAGCTTGAAATTAGACGAGTTTTCTCAATCCATTGATATCTAGTATACCATATCCTAAACATTATAAATTTTATCTTGACAATTTGTTCTAACCTCAACTTACTGTAACACTTAAAATGGCGAATATAAGAACAACTAAGATAGCACGATACATTAAATCAATCAATTGCTTTAAACTCATGATAAAGACATGCAAGAAAATAACCTGGTATATTTGATAACCGATTTGATTTTGATAACGAAATCTTGGCAATGACATAAAGTAGTAGCAGCGTATTTATTCATCAGCTCCGAATAGTTTAATCCCAAAAGAAACAGGACAACCCAACCCTTTAATAGATTCAGTTTGATGTGAAAGACAACTCGTATGGGATATTACTGAGAGAACGGTTAAACGAAACAACGTTACTGGGTTAAGCAGCAGTGCCATTTTCTAAACTCTTTAAACTTTTAGATTTTTTCTCTGTATATTTGAACACGAATTTGTTTATAGATTACAGATTGAAAAACGCCGAGTTAATTAATGGTTCTTAAGTCAAGTCAAGTAAGTATTGTATCTTTTTCAAACTAATACTAAAATAGGAATTATTAATTCACATCAAGAACTATTTCTCGAATAATATTATTTAAGATAATATAAATTTAAAATATAGTTTATCCCGCTTTGCGTTATAATTATTAAAGTACAGAAATGTTCCGACGGATTTTAAATGTTGACATCAAAAATTTACTAATTTCAAATTAAAATAAAAATATGATTTTTATTTATCATTCAACTGCATTTATAGCATATATTAATTATAGAAAAATTTTAAATCATATATTTTATGTTTCAAATTCAATTAATAAGCTACAAATAAGTTAACATTAAATCTTGAATGCTTGCAAATAAGAAAACTGATATTATTCAGTATCAAAACGAAGTCATTAAAAGTTGATTTGACATATAAACAATAATCAAAAGTAATGGTAATAAAAAGCAACCACGGCAAACTCTAATTTCTAAATATCAAAATCAAATATTTACCGTTTCTATCATGACTTTCAGAGTTTTGCAAATTATGGTCCGGTAAAAGAACCGGATTGATATTCAAATTCGGATAAAACTCCAACATCTTCACCAAGTTTCCCAAAAAAAAAAATAACACTGTAATACACAATGCACTCTAAGCGGCACAAAAAGTGCTCGAAAATATTTTTCAAAAAAAAATATTTATTTTCGAAAAACTCAAAAAAGACGTTTTCCAAAACACATCAAAAATGTTCTCTCACACTGTCTACTATATGTCGCACCGGCGAGCTTTGCGTATAGATTGTTACTGATATCAGCTATTAGGGTGGTGGTTTGAACGCCCCACCCTCAAAGCTCCCCGTAAGCGTTTTGAACGTCGATCGACGTCGCGACGCTCGACGTCCGCCGAAAACGTAGTACCGAAACAGGACACGCCCGGAATCGTGCGCAGCATCGTGGGCGGAGCTTTCGTTTTCAGTGTTCCGAAGCTTTTCCGGTGAGGCGGTGGGGAGCTTGCGCCTTTCGAATTTTCTTTATTGTCAAAGGACTTTTCCGAAGCGACGACCTCTCCTTTTTTATTCTCCTCCTTTCTTATTAGTTCTTATGTTTTAATATAAAAGTCTCCATGTAAACAAGGTTCTCTTTGACGAGATTGTAATAAATGAGTAGGTCGGTTTGTACGGATGGGTTGCATTGATAACTGGATGGAAAAGTTGATTTTAACAAAAAATTTACGAATTGAATAAAAGTAGATGAGGATTACTAATGTAGAAGATTTTTTGTCGTGATTTATATTTTTATCGGCGATATTTAAAACAATTTTTTCGTTACAAATTAGTTACCAAAAATTAATTAATTCAAAATTGGTTATTTTTATTAATCATATTTTCCCTATCCCTCCTTTTTTTTATATTAAACAAAATAATAAATATTTCAATGTTGAACTTTTTGTTAATTATTAGAGCTAATTTAATATTTTTCATAATCTTACCTAATCTAATCATTGATATCTTCTATTGATTTTTTAGATGGAAATATAATTCTTTTCATATACTCTGTGTGAGTAAAACTCGCACAGAAGTGTATTATTTGATTGACGCTTTACAAGTTGCTATCAATTGCAGGAGTATGACGAGATTGCCTGGAATCCTGTTATCTACGCAGACAGAGGTGACGATATTCAATCAATGTTAAGCTTGCAAGCTATTTAAGAGATTTGAACTTTTCTTAAACTTAAACTTAATTTAATAAATTTCTTCTGCAGATGTGTTTACTTCCTCTTTTTGGTGACAAAAAAATAAAGATATATCCCCACAAAAAAACATTAAAGAATTCTATAAAGTGTCCCATAGGAAATAGGGAGAAATAGCCACTTCAATTATCCTTCACCGTAATAACGATATCATTGGAGTTTCCGTGTTAAAAAAGGTAGTGATCTGGTGATCCATCAAATAAACGAAACATCCTTCCGCTCTATCAACTATTCGATGGTGGGCAAAGCACAATCGTCGAACCCTGGAACGGATAGGGCGGAACCCCGCTCAGTTCGTTCGTTTCATGCAAAAATAATTTCATTCATTCATTCATTTCGCGACCAACATCAGGGACATCACGTCGATTTACGATGTGTTGTGGTGGGTTCTCCGGACAAGAGCAGCATCCAGCGGTTTTCATTGTGCAACCGAGCGAGTTAGTTGGCCCACTCGTGCAACGAGTGCGTTTCTACGAAACTGCTTATTGTCCTATATGGACCACATAGGTACGTTTATTAGGACACTTGTGCACGCATCACTACTCCGTTTCTATAATCACTAAAAGGGGTGCAATTTAATTGTTGAGTTGGATGATGTATTATAATATAAATTTAATGTTATAAGAAAAAAAATTAAACAACCTTTTTAATGACACACATTATTATTAAATTATATGTATTTCAATTTTATTTTAAACAAAACTTTCCAAGAAATGAGGTTTGTAAACATTCTTAAAGATAATCATCGAAAGTTGGTAACAATTTATTTCTCAAAAAGTGATTCATAATTTTTAAACCAGGTTTAATTATAGAAACAGCTAATTAAGTCTTTTGAACTTATTGGAAGAAAATTCTAATGAAAAGTGTTGTTTAAACTGGGGTTGTTCATTGAAAAGCGGGTTTAGTTTATGGAATTGATACAAACATGTAAAGTTAACTCAGCGGGATGAGCGTATGTTATTATTACTTAAGGACGCACGTTGGATAATTTTTGCCTATTTGACGTATATGGACAATTAGGATCAAATATACATGAATGCATTTTTTATAAAACTTTTTTATTAAACGAAATATACAGGGTCAGTCAAAAAAATGGGAAATTCGAATACGGGATATACTAGACACCAAAATATGACGATTTAATCCATCATCTCTTAGAGAGATTTCGGTGGATTTCGACATACAGGGTGGGCAAATTTGGGTGTTATTATAGGCTATCTCAGAAACTATAAGAGATACGAAAAAAGTAGATGCCATGTCCCGGTCTCTTTTTTCGAGACTAACCCAATCCCACAAACACCAAACTTCTATCTTCTTTTGTTTTTAAGTTATAGCCAAAAAGTCAAATTTTCGTGATTTCAAAAAATGCTCATATTTCGTTTATTTTTAAATTTACAGAAATGGGGTTGTTACGTTCTTAAGACACTTTTTTAAGTAGAATATACTACCGTTGAAAAATATTAAATATACTTTATAATTTTTGAGATGCAACACAAAGTTGTGTTTTTAAATACAAACTATACTTGATTATGATGTTACTGAAAAGAGCATATTTTTTGCTTTCCAATGATGTATCGCATGTATGGTGTCTTTGCAGAAAATAAGCGTTAATTTTGAATTCCAAAATAGTAAGCGCCAAATTATTCAAAATTTTGATTATAGTAGGCGGGTCCGGACAATAAATACTACCTAGTGGCTATAATATGACAGAATAAAGGTGGTTTTGTACTATTATTCAGGATAAAGTTGGTTGTGTACCAACGAATAAAAACTTTGAATAGTTAATTTACATTTCTCAACATCTTATCCCTGACTTTGTTCACCAATAAGAAATGGTTAGCAAGTAAAGGTTGTTTATTAAAAATACAAGAAATGTATTAATTAATGAATAATTAAATATGGACAACTTCAGGAACTAAACAGTCACAAACTGTCATTTTCTACTAAACTTACTGGTTGTTCGGTTAGAACAGCTGGGTATTAATGAATGAAATCTTCGGTAGTATCTTCCCAGTTTTCTAGCAACCTTTTCTTTTGAAATTGGGTGAGATAGAGGAAGATTAGGGATCATAAACTGGGCAGCGGACTTTCCATTGAAACGATGTTTATATGGGATATGTATTTAAAGATAATGAGGAATTTTTAAGTGGGAAACTCGTTTCGAAAAATTCATGAATGAAATGATCAGTAAACTCATGTTACTATAGTAACTAAGTGGCATTTAACGTTTTCCTCGACTACTATAATTAAAATTCTGTATATTAATCTTTAATATTTTAGAATTAAAAAATAACGCTTATTTTCCGCAAATACACCATGCGTGCAGAACATCATTGGAAAGCTAAAAATATGCTCTTTTCAATAACACCATAATCTACTATAGTTTGTATTTAAAAAAATACAACTTTGTGTTGTATCTCAAAAATCATCAAATATTTGTAAAATTTTTTAACGGCAGTATATTCTACTTAAAAAAGTGTCTTAAGAAGGTATCAACCCCAGTTCTCTAATTTCAAAAATAAACGAAATATGAGCATTTTTTGAAATCACGAAAATTTGACTTTTTGGCTATAACTTAAAAACAAGAGAAGATAAAGGTTTGCTGTTTGCGGGATTGAGTTAGTCTCGAAAAAAGAGACCGGGACATGGCACCTACTTTTTTCGTATCTCTTATAGTTTCTGAGATAGCTTATAATAACACATAAATTTGCCCACCCTGACATTGAAAGTTAAATTCTTATTTCGAAATTTTTTGATAATTTTGAAGCTTTTTGTACTATTAACATAACTGATTGTATGAATCCATGTTGCAAGTTATATTATATATGGGAAAATGTATATGTATACATATACATATAAAAATATAAAAAAACTTCTTACTTGCTTAATTTTTAAATATTTATTGGAACCGGTTTCGACACATAAAGATCATCATCAGCCAAAATGTCATAAATGAAGAAAATGTTAACGTTGAATTTTATAAAAATACCACATTGAATATTAAAATATTAAAATTTAAATAAATAAACTAAGGTAAAATGTTAAAATTAAATAAATATGTTACGAATTAAAATGAAACGTACAACAAGACGAACACAGCGCACAATAATCTGTGTTCGTCTTGTTGTACGTTTAAATTTTAATATTCAATGTGGTATTTTTATAAAATTCAACGTTAGAATTTTCTTCATTTATGACATTTTGGCTGATGATAACCTTTATGTGTCGAAACCGGTTCCAATAAATATTTAAAAATTAAGCAAGTAAGAAGTTTTTTTATATTTTTATATGTATACAATATATACATATACATTTTCCCATATATTAACATAACATTTGGTAATTTTATGTTTTCGAGTATGAGAAATAATAATTTGAAACTTGTTTTATTACTGCTCGTTTGATAAATCAAATCATAAGTTTTTTTGCTGTCGAGCTACGACCAATAAGACCTACCAATCACAAAGAGCATTCAATTTTACATAAAAAAATTAGCAATGTTTGCCTCCAGATTCATCTTTATAGCATCAAGTAAATAAATTAAAAAATCTATATATTTTTCAAAAGATGATGTATATTAATTAAAATCGGGCACCGTATTACAACCGTCATCAGGCTCCATTGCAATAGTAAAAAGTATTTTTATATAAATAACTTATAATACGAAAGTTCTTCCTGTCTAATTGCCAAAAATTGTTAAATTGAAGTGATTGCACATCATATAAAGGACCAACTATTTTGTTTTATAAACAGTCACACGTTCTTTAAAAACTTAATTAAAAAACTATACAGAAATTAAACACATTAAAAATTAATAAATTAAATTGTTAAAAACTTGTAAAATATTAAAATTGTAAGTGTCATTATAAATTATATTAAACACGAGCACAAACGAGTATAAATTAAGAAATACGATTACGGACCACTTTCGTACGAAAATACCACGACTCGAGGAACGGGTTTATAATGTGCACAAAAATTTAAAAAAATATCAGTTTGTGTTAAAATCCTCCCTGTAGAATTTCTTCCACATATCCATTTCTTTAGATTTAGTCA